GCCCTGGCAGAAAAAAGGGCCAACCGCATCCTGGGGTGCATCAAGCAGAGCATCGCTAGCCGGTCGAGGGAGGTGATTGTCCCACCCTACACTGCGCTGGTGCGGCCCCCCCTCGAGCACTGTGTGCACTTTGGGGCACCTCAGTACAAGAAGGACATCGAACTATTAGAGTGTGTCCAGAGGAGGGCGACCAAGATGGCGAAAGGCCTCGAGGGCAAGACTTTCGAGGAGCGGCTGAGGTCACTTGGCTTGTTCAGCTTGGAGGAGAGAAGGCTGAGGGGTGAGCTCACCCCAGTCTACAGCTTCCTCACGGGGGCAGCGGAGGGGGAGGTCCTGAGCTCCTCTCTCTGGTGACCAGTGATAGAACACATGGGAATGGAACGAAGCTTCATCAGGGGAAACCCAGATTGGACATTAGGAAAAGATCCTTCACTGAGAGGGTGGTGGGTCACTGGAACAGGCTCCCCAGGGAAGTGGTCACAGCACCAAGCCTGTCAGAGTTGAAGGAGCATCTGGACAAAGCTCTTAGTCATATGGTTTAGTGTTAGGTAGTCCTGCGAGGAGCAGGGAGTTGGACTCGATGATCCTTAGGAGTCCCTTCCAACTCGAGATATTCTAAGATTCTATTTAGGGTAGCCCACTTGCCCAGCCAAGGGAAAAGCAACTATAGACTCAAACCAGCTCTTTCTTCACTGTGCGTTTCTTCTGTTCTGAAACAAGGTTTTCAGCTGGACGGCTACTCTGGACATGAAGAGAATGCTTACACTATACAGAAGGCTTAATTCCTGCTACATTCACGCTCAAAATTGGATGGTACAAGCAGTTTAAACTTTTTAGACAAAAATGGCCATATACATCTAAATATTTGCAACTCCAAATACTAAGTGTGTGCAGGCAACTGAATTAATTGTTCGGACAGGTAACAGCATAGAATACATACAGCCAGTGCAACTAGGTCTGTATTTTGAAGTCAGATATAGACCTATTTCCCACACTTGCATTTTACAAGCTCACTCAGTACTTGTCCCATGTAAATTTTGGCAGGACATAATGTATGGCATTTATGCCACCTTTCGGCACACGCTCTAACCAAAAATAAAACCAATATATTAAAATCTTCTAACTTCCTTTTATCAGAGTGAAAACATCAATAAATTGTAATCTGAGTACAGGAACCGTTTGGATAAGCTCCAAGAGAAGTTTTTCTGGTGGTAAGACTACGAACAACAATTCCCAATTCCCTTGTTAAAAACTGGCGGCTGACCAAGAGTTCTGAAGAGAATAGCAAAGGAGTGGAAAACCTTCTCAACTCAAAGGAAACTCCAACACAATATTTTGGTAAAGGAGCAGCACAGGCTCCTTCCCTTGGTCCAGAATTAGGGTCAATATTAAAATAAAACCAACAACACACAAAGTACCAATCCGTCCACATCCCACTTCATTGCAAGCCAGTCAGCACACAACCCATTAACTGCTCAAGGCACACAGTAATTTCTGCTTTACTCCCCAGCTTTTTACTGTCACTGCTGAGTTTAATACGCTTGCAGACAGAGTGAGCTAAGCTATTAAACTTTAAGCATATAAACTCTATCCCTTGCATACCAGATGTCTGGAAGAAGGATATGGCTAAGCATTCAATATGCCTTTTTGGAAAAGAAAGTTAAATTTTGTTCTTTCTAGTCACTAGAAAGACTGAGGCAGCAAAGCATACGTTAAATGCATTCAATAGCTAACACTGACAGTAAAAGCTGAACTACAGAAATACAGAATCAATTACAATTCTTCAAATGGATGGTGTAGCTTGGCATAAAGCTTGACATGTTACAGCCTGTACATGCCTGTCAACACCCATCTATGACTACAAAGACTGAGTGGATAATCAGTATTAACAGTGCATGGGGTTATTCACCTCAACACACAAAAAGCTATTCACACTAATACCTACGTGGGTTTAGGTTTAGATTAAGTGTCCAAACGTAGACCTTCTGGATCATACTAGTAATAACAAATTCTTGGACCAAACTGCTGAAATTCTTTCCTGTGTTACAAATTGTTCAGCTTTCTTGTAGTGATATTAAGCAAAGCAGTGTCATGTTGAAGAACACACAATCAAACCACTTAAGATTAGCCAGATTTGTGATTTCAAGTCAGGTCTTCAATTGAAACATACTGTTTATCAGAAGACTCATTTTTTTTCAGTAAAATCTAATGATTTTTTAGAGAAAAGCGAACAAAATGCAAATTACAGGCACCTTAAATAAATATACCTCTTTTTAGGAGAGAAAAAAACCCACTCTCCTTTTTAGGAGAGAAAACCAAAAAAAAAACCCCAAACAAACCCAAAACTTTCTGGCCAAGTTTTCCATCCATAAAAGATGCAAATACTAGAGTTCCCTATGTTAGCCCTTCTTACCGGACTGACCTATTTCAACTGTATTCCTGGCAAGCAGTACTCTCTATTTACAGGCTAGTTTGCTAGCTAAAAGGATGGATGTCTTCCCAGCCTTTTAAAAAAGCCCTCTGCCAGCAGAAACCAGTCTAAGTTAGCTGTTCCTGAAAACAGCAGCTACTTCTTCCTCCTAAGTTCTCTGCAAGTTGACTGTAAAAACTGAGCGTTGGTGTGCTTTGCTCAGACAGAAAAACAAAACATAGGAATAAAAGAGCAATTTGTCCATACCCAGGAGCCCTCCCTTCTCCCAAGCAAATATCCTTGCAGCTTCCTCTGGCCCACTGCACCTTAGACTTCCCTCTTCACAGTTGCACAACTGCAACCAGAACAGCTGTAAAGCTATTTATCCAATAGACAGGGAGACACAAACAGATGCACACAAACACACATGCTGTTCACAGACTTCTAGATAATCTTGCTGGTTATTCATCTGAAGATGATCTGGAGGATGCCTGCTTCAGTGCAGACTTCAAGCTAGACATACTCGAGATACCCAGTTACAAGGCACACTTGTGTTCAGAATACAAATGCTATCACAAATGTCCTAATGTCATGAGGCGCTTACCTCATTGTGGTTTTACTTCTGTAGTTTATTCCTACTTGCTGATATGGTGTCCTCCTCTTCCTCCCAAGCTAGATGCACAATGTAGAGTTCATCAATTTCTATTCTCAACATGCATACATATTAAATGAACTGCTACAGAAGAAAAATACCTTTTAATCATTTCATCTTCAGTTAAGAACAATGCAAGACTATTTCCCTTGATGTGAATTTCTACCCTCCTCATGCCCTTCTACAAATCCTGTAGGTTTTTTTCCCCACAATTAGAAGCTAAAAACTGATCCTTTTCATCTTTCCTGTAAACAGTAGTATTGAAAATGAGATCAGTACCTGAAGTGTAGAAAAATAAAACTAGCCAGAGGCCATGGGAAATGCAGCAATGACATTTATTGGAATTTCTCCAGGCATTACATGAAAAATTTTATAAGTGAAACCAAGGATAAAGCACAGTCAGTGCATCTTAAAAAAAAAAAAAAAAAAAAAAAAAAGGTATCTGAATAATCTTGATTCTTTGTAATACACGCTACTGCAGTTCCTGGGATTGGTTTTGTATGTACATATCACCTAAAACTTACTCTGAACAAAACTGCGAAGAACTGCCTTTTCACTTGGCGTTTTCCCATCTAGTACAATACAATATTCTTGAAATATCTAGACAGATTCCACATAATTTTATACACAGTGTTAAGACCTTTCACCCCAACTGTAAAAAGAAAGACTGTTAAGTAAATCAATATCTTTAATTGAATAAAACACCACGGAAGTAAAAAACAATAACAACAAAAAAGAAATCCAGGAGACGCCCAAGCCCCCAAGTTAAACAGCAGCGTGCAGCAAATCAGCATTGTTGTTCCTCACTTTTATATTAACATAAAGCATAATACTTAGAAAGCAGTGAAATTCAGTCCTTGCTTTCTAAATTGGACAATCTTATGCATAAAGACACTGCTGGATTTGGCACTTTGCTTAATTGTTTTTCTTACTAAAAAGAATAAGTGTTTCCTGAAATACAGTATAAATGGTAAGAGATAACATGAGCCACTGTAACACTCAATTAACGGTTCAGACATGCACTCCAAAATACGTGTCTATTACACATTTGTCTAAGCCTTCTCAAAATTTCCACTCAAAAACATTTTCAAAACTATATGCATCTTTTTATACCTTTATAAACATATTTTCTCCCTTGAAATGATCAGAGCTTACCTCACCTTCTGCCCAGAACACAAATATTCATGACTTTTGTTTTAAAAAGAAGACCACAAAGCAGTATTAAAACAGGAATAACCTGGAAAGCCTTATTAAAACTGCACCTGTACTTCAGAATCCCCTTTCAAATGCATATTCACGTGTATGTGAAAACTGAAAGGTACATGATATTTGAAACTTGCTTGGTCCTCTCTCATGCGCTTATGCTCAACTTCCTGCAACCTGCCTCAATTTTCTCTTCAAATAAAATTTAAGAACAGCTTTCTGGCTCCCACTACAATAAGACAAGGCTTCTTGCAGTATTTCTTTGGTTAATTGAGAACTCCTTACATGCCTAACTCTTACGACAGCAAGTCTTCTGCAGAAAATTAACATCAGAATAAATACCATCCCACAGCCTTGCTTCCCTCCTCCTGTCATCACGACCAACCCCAGGACAGGTGGAAGCAAACAGGCCAGGAAGGAAGTAGCAGTCACCATTAGCTCTTGCCTTTACAAGTTCTGCAAGTGTGTATAGATACCTATTTCTTAGCTCTGAGTTACGGAGGTGGAGCTATGATGTGGTGCTTTTTCTTCCAGTTCCAACATGCATGTGGAATTACACTGCTGACTGATACAGCCCAGGCAGCGGATGGCACTAGAGCTCTTTCTGTACGAACCAAGTCATGATACTTATTCTGCTTATTGGTCTGTGCACATAATGTCAGTAGAATTAAAAAGAGAGGCACGCATGAGTTCACACAGATTTTCCACAGAAGATGTGAAACATGCTGCTCTTTGGAGGGAAAATTACATTCTTTTTTTTTTCTTCAAGTATTATTCAACATACATATATATATAAGACACGCTATTCTCATTTCACTACAAGACAAGCACATCCAGAGTGAATTTGTAGATCACCATTATCTTGGCTTTGACTACTGAAATTTCTCTTTTCCTTTAAGTCAACTCTAAATATACACCTACTAATAATAATTACATGTGACAATCCTTTATTTCCCCCTTGTGATTTATTTACATAATCATAAAAAAATTAATAGCCTGAATTTGCATACTGACATTTGAAGGCCCATCTGTAGCTATGAGTGTCCCAGCACTAGTTTTGGATAATACCGTTCGTTGCCTATTGCTAAGTCCTTTGAAAGCAGCATGCTCATCTTTTCTTTCCCTTTTTTTGAAAAGATGCTGCCTAGAAAACCTTGTTTTATGGCTTACTCCTTATTTTATTTTATTATTTGGATTGTAGTTTACTTCCTTCAGGAGCAGTTCACAGTCAGACAATGCTTCTGCTGGCAAATACTTCATTATCTGCTCAAGAGTCTTTTGATATGTTATCTTCTCCTGTTCCAGGGACTGAATTACAGTTTTCATTTTGTTTTCTCGAGTCAAAATAGTCTCCAGGCTGGATTCCAGACTCTGAATTTTAGCATGAGCAACCTGTAAACAATAACATTATCTTATAATAAATTGAGATGTTCTGAATAACTTTTTTATATTATGATATGCTATATGTTAAGGAAAGAACTTAATTACATAGATGTTTCTAAAAGACACCTGTGTATGCAGATAATACAAGGAATGCCTACTGTGTATCATACACAGAATCTCCTTATAGCGACCAGATCACTCTGAAGGATTTCTGAAAGCTTTGCAGAGGGAAGGAGACATGCAAGTTGCAGCAAGCAAGGGACAGTTAAGAGTAACAAGGAACTGGAGCTGCAGGGAGAAAAAGGAAATTAGCAGCTGGAGTAGCACTGGAAGAGACTACTTGTCTGACAGTGATGGAGCAATGGGAACCCTATATGAAAAAATAAATTAGCAGGATGGAGAGGTTGGAGGGAAAGAGAACCTCAACAGAAGCAGACAGTGTTCCCTATTCTCTAATAAAAGACCTACACCTTCCTCTGGGAAAAAAAAAAACCCAAAAAACCCCACTGACTGGTAATGAGAAAGCCTGGAAATCAGCAGTAGCAAACATGTCTCTGTGGAGAGTCGGGGAATTCTGACCATTCCTAGGAAAGGGCCCAAGCAGAGGAATGAAGAAACTATACAAACAAAAAGATGAAGATGTTAAGGAACTGAGGAAGATGCATTACAGTATGGTGCTCTGGAAGAACAGAGGAGCTTCAACAGACCCTTTCAAATCAGTCACTCATGATTATTTTATGGCCTTGATGCATTTTCAGAAGAGAGGTAAAAGCCCAGGTAGTAGTAAATAGATAAATAAAAAAATGAAATAAAGCAAAAATAACAACAGTAAAAAAGGCAAGTGATCCCCGTTTTTAATATCAAAAGAACACAGCACAGCACCCTTAGCGCATAAACACAAAAATAATGAGGCCTTGATCTTTCCTTTTTTCCCTGCTTCTATTTTCAGGTTTCAGAAGCTGAAGGTGCTGTCTGAGCTTTTTCCAATACTTGTTCAAATTAACAAATATAATAAGAAATGGCCTGGTGATGCAAAAAGAAGAGCTTGTCTTTCAGGAAAATGGAAGACAATACACATCGAAACCTGAAACAAGTCTTGGCCAGGCTATGGGAGAAAGGGTGAATAGTGAAGGAGGAAGAAGAGACTTTTTAAAGCATGACTTCATCAGTCTGGTGGGCACTCAGCTGTATCCAAGTCTGCTAGGAGAGACCACCTTTCAAAAGCAAGACTATGAGCTTCAACAGAAGGAAACAGAATGATTTTGCCTACAAAGGTCTAGAGAAAGCAAGACTACTGCACTATGGATTATTTCTTAAAACTTTCCAGTAGGGAAGCAAAGAGATGAAGGGACAGAGAACTTATTTTTCAGCAAGATACACAAATATTGCCAACAGATTTTATGGGAGAGAAAGGTAGAGATATTTTGAGAGAAAGAAACCTAAATCAAGAAGGAAAAGTCCAAGGAATGACAAAGGAGTTAAAAATGTGTCTAACAGAAGTAAATCCCTGTAACTGAGAGAACTGCTCAACTGCATGAAGTCTTGCAGTTAGGAGACTTCTCATGTACATTTAAAAAAGAGACCTACCCCTCTATTGGCTGAATCTCAGAAATGAGCTCTCCGTGAATTTGTAGTCTTAAGTCATTTACCTGTAGCTTCTCCAACAAATCCATGTTTTGTCTCTTCAGATGACTGTTTGCCCTCTCCAGCTTCTCCAGGGGTTCACCTTCATCACAGGGATTCACATTTTCCTGCAGTTCATCCTGAAGAACATGGTACTCTACTTCATAGGCATGGAGCTGTTTTGAAATATCCATCTCAAACACCTACCATGAAAGAAAAAATAATTTTTAACTACAAGAGAGAGCGCTTACTCCACATGAATGTTTGGCTAAGAGGCAACTTTGCTTGATTAACTTAATGTTTTTTCCTGTTCCTCTCAAAAAAAGTATTTTAAGGAAAAGTCTACAGTAAGAGCATTTTAATATCTAGAGTTCTTATTGTAGCCATAATAAATCATAGACTTTAGAATAAATTGGATCATCACCTTTACAATTACTAAATACCATCTTACTATGAGATGTATCAGCAGGAAAGTCTTATTTAATCCCAGAATTTTGTAATATGACCAAGTCTTATCATCTCTTGCTCAGAAATGTTAAGAAGTTCAAGAAGAAATTTTCAATTCAAGTCTCACCAGCTTGTGATGGGAGCAGGATCACACAATGAGGAAGAAAAATCCAGGAATCATCAGATCTCCACCCTCAAAACTAGATCTCTTGAAGTCAAGTACCCATTTATAGACTTTTATAAAAACACTCTTCACACAGTTTCCCTGTGCTCTATCTCTGCGTGAAGATACACTATTTTCTTATTGGGATGCTTTGGTGACAAAGCATTGTGAAGACTATGGAACTGAGCATCGAACAGTGATGGGACCATATGACCCTTATCTGTTTATACATCTAGTCACAGCCTCTCAGCTTCTAGAAGTTACCAAATAATTTAGACTAGGAAGGGAAGGATGTCTACAGTGACATTAACTCTGTCCCTTGTTCTAGAGACCACAAACATTACACCAACAGAATATACATGCAGATCCCCAACAAACCAAGTTCTGCATTATGTTCATTGTTCTTCAGGTAAACCAAATGAGGTAAAACTTTAAATTACATATGGTGTTTAAGCTGGGCAAGTGCCATTTTCCTCTATGTAGCTACCCGGTCAATTCTTCATCTGTGTATTATAGTCCTGCATAACATTTTTCTTTCATTATTTGCTGTAAGATGACTGTCCCAGGAATTACAACATTGAGACAGCCAAACGACTCCACTTGCAGCCAGTCTAGGTAGAAGCAACATGATATAGGCAGTCTACACATGAAAGCAGATCCAGAAGGCTGCTCAGCATGAGACCACACCACAGGCGAGCAGGCGACCTTCCTCTCAGAGCTGAGCTGACCTGCGTATAACCACATCCACTTCCGCTCAGGCAACATAACCCATTCTTTACTCAATCAGACCTGGCTTTGCAGTTCTACCATCCTCACCACAGCGCAGTTGCTCTGCAACCCACACAGACCACAGGACAGAGACAATGTCTAATAGTATCAAAAATATTGAACTATCATCTCTATCACTGCCAGAATCAGTGAGTTGTGAAGATAGACACTAAAGTGCCTGACACAGGTTTAGCACGGCAATCACAATCAGTGCAATGAGGAAATGAAGATTTACATGTCATCTAAAAATTAATTCTTAACTGACAGCACCTGAAACATTCAAGTGTTAACCAAGCCATAGGAATGCATTAGTGTGAACTGCACTCCTGCGTATGGAGATGGTTTTCTAGAGCTCTTCTGTTATCTCCAAACTGCCACCTGAAGGGGGAAAACTGCTCACAGGTTCACAGTTAAGGTACTAGACTGAGGCTCATTTTCAATTTGCAGCTTCAATGCAGAGGAAGATGATATAGAGAGATGAAGATCCCAGCCACTGACAGTATTTCACAGGAAGGTTTTCCTGTATCAGCATCAGTAATTCTTTGTTTCTCTTCTATTCTCACCCTTTGCCATGAAGCTGCAATGATACTGATGAAATAACAATACTCCAATCCTCCTTCCGCATACCCAAGAAAGGCAGGCATCAATCCTGAGGGGCTTTTACCTCTGGCATCAAGCACCTGCCAAATGTAATCCCTCCAAGTATGGTGTTGAGGTGAGAAGGGGAAGTCGCACGAGGGCACCCTAAAAGTGATACCCAGGAGGATAGAAGCCACCCCCGCAACAGAACAGCAAAAGTTTGCTTGACCTTCATTTTAGTACAGATCATGAAAACAGGGCTTCAACAGTCTCCTAATTTGTAGCATTTTAAGTTGGAGGTATCAGAAAATTTCCTATGGGGGTACCCAGCCCTGTACAGCCAGAATTTTGAAGGATCAGGAGGAGAAGTTGCTGTGATGCTACCTCTTCCCACCATGGCAAGTTGTGCTTCCCATCACAAACAGTAGGACTGCTCACCAACTAGCAGGGAGCAACAGCTGGGTTTAGGTTTGGAAAATAGGCTACTTTTACCCTTCTGATGGTGACATGAAATTTATAAGCAAAGTCATGTTTACCCAATAGCTGGGGCACAAAAGAACCTTTGTACTAAACCTTGAGGTAGCAGCTAAAGCCTTGCTAAAATTGCAGTCCAAAACCCACTGAAATTAGCTCATATCCAATTTCTGTACAAGTTAATGGGAAGATGACTCCTTTGCATTTCAAACCAAAAGGAACGTACTGAGAAGACTTCTACATATTCCTTAGGCATGATTCTTTAAAACTAAAGCGGGGGAAAGGGGGGTGCAGAAAGTAAAGACAGAAACAATCTTACCTGAGTAATAATTTTTTCCATTTGAGGCTGAGTCATATCTGGAATAGCAGTTTTAAGAAAATCAACAATGTTCTCAAAACTCTCACATCCCATTATAGATGTTTCTTGACTGCTAAGTAGGCTCAGTGCTACTTTAAATATGACTTCCGTTCCTTGAAGAAAAATAATGTCTAAAAAAGAAAATTATTAACATATCTTGAAAATGAGAGCTTAAGTCACTGGATAAATATGTATATTTGCTGGGATGTTTTAATCAATCATACTGCAAATTTATTCAGTTCAGAAGCGCAATCTGTCTTATTTCAACATGAGGTTAAAGCATATAAAAGCCTTTTCTGTCATCTTACAGATGTGAGAGAACATTAAAGAAAATATTGCATGCTTGTTATGTCTGTAACAGTTATCTGCAATAAGCATTTCATTACCGTCTTCTGTAGACTATAGACCTTTAACTAACTGCTAACTGTTTTTAAGTGCATCTATAACTGAAAAGCAATTGGGAAGCAGATCACAACACAATGTACTAACATTTTACAGTTTTCTACAGGCAGAAGCTAGTCCTTAAAAAACAATCATGTAGATTCCGTACCCAATCATATTATTTTCAAAATCCATAGTAGTTATCATATTGGCTATAATTTAAGCCCCAAATCTTTACTTTAAGATATAATTAAGTGGATTTGAGGGGAAAGTCCAGGCTCTGCAGAAGTCAGTAGACACAGACTACACAGAAACTGGAAACTTGATCACAGTAACTAGAAACTCAGTCTTGGTAGCAGCGGTGGACTTGCAGTTACCAAGGTGAACGCAGCACATGAGCAGTTCAAATTAAGCCTCCTGTGCTGTTGGCTCTGTCACACCACCAAAAGCAGGGCTACACAACTGAACAAACTTAATTTCTGATCCTGATACTGAGAGGTCATCCTTGGCCCTAATCCAGGGTAGCACCAGGATACTGGTGAGGCAGCCATCTCACTCATGCAGAGTTCCTAAAAGTCTCCCTTCTCAAGTCTATGATGCACATTCAAGGAGCATAAATATAAGTATGTAATTTGTGATGGGTAGACATTAACCGTCTGTTCCTGGTATGTGACAATGGCCCATAAAACACTGAAGATGCAGGAATCCAAAGCATTAAGAAGTAAAACAACATAGGGACGTTTGAGTATTAAAATGGGAACATGCTTTGCTCAGCCCATTTACAGAGAAATGAACACTGACCTTCCCCACCCTTAAAATACTTGTTTTCCAAATTCAAAGCCTACTGAGGGAAAAAAAAAAAAAGAAAGAAAAAAGAAAAGAACACTTTAGCCTTGAAAAACAAGTCAAAAGAAAAAAAAAATGCTTGAGTGTCCCAGAATTCAGTAATCCCGCTGGGAAAGAGATGTACCAATCACCTGAATACCACTGAAAAACAGATACACCAATCATTTGTTCACCCAAAGATCAGTCAGAAAAAGTTTGCTGTAAAAGGAAAAAACCTCTGTAATGGAGAAATCACTAGGTCAAAAAAAAAAAAGAAAAAGAAAACCAAGCAAATCCCTCTTTCTCCCCAAACCACCACACGAAAAAAACCTAACACACTCCAGTAATAAAACATGAGACAAAAGTCAGGTTGAATTTCTTAAGAAAAGACAAAAGGTGCCATATGAAAAACAGAAAAATCAAATGGAAAAAAGTCTGATTTAGGAAGAAGTACATGACATATACACCTAGCTTCTTGGTGCATATCTGAGTGCAGTGAGTTTTACATTAGTAAATAAAAAAAATTTTTAAAAAGCTGCATTGCTAGAGATTTGATTAAGCCGGCAGTTCCTATTGACAATGAAAGAATACAAAACCAAGTACTTGACATGCTGATACTGTAAACACTACAAGGCACAATCAATATTTAAGCTTCTGTACTAGACATTATCTGAAGAGGAGCATATCATAAAAAAACCTATGGAATAAGAGGCATACTAAGACTAGAAAACTGTTCAATATATACGTGAATACCTGAAACAGCTTTTAAGTTCAGGTTTACCTGATTTTTTATTAGAAAGCACTTTAGAATCGGTTATACAGAAACACTTTCTTGAAAACCAATACATTCTCTTTTTTCAGTTTGCAAGATGAACTTTTCTATAGACATCAACTGAATGTTTGATGCATAAAATACATTTGCAACAATAAACTTGCTGCTGTTCACACTTCAGAAGTCTCTTGGCTAATAACAGCAGTCATATTTAATTGCTCAAGTCTGATGTTTCAAAGAATACATTTTGGTTTTCTCCTTTGAAAAGGAGCTGACATCCCACCATGAAGAGTGTTGCTACTTGCCACCCACAATAGTCACCCCAGATGTCCCCAGTATGTAGAAAACTACTCCCTGAGAGTTTCAAAACATGATGGACAACATTGTTCTGTTTATTACTGCAATAAAATAAACTTTCTTACCAAATACTCTGGCTACAAATCCTAATGGAAACTGAGATGCGAACAGTGTAAGAAACCACGGTGCAGCATAAAGACTGGGACTGATTTCATTTTCTTCAAGATGATTATACAGGTCTCTGTGATAATCATGAAGAAGCCTTGAGAGCTGATACATCTGAATCTACAGTGCATGAAGGGGTTGGGGGGGAAGGAAGTAGAGAAAGAAAAGTTCAGCTTTACTCAGTTTTCCAAACCATCCACTTTTCACTCAAGGGAAATTAACTCCAGTACAGATGGCACTGTAAAATGAAGCTTAATTGTTGCCTAGGGCCTCAAGTGATATCTACTCACGTATAAACAACCCACCCCTAGTGAATTAAAACCAACACAGTAATCAATAACAAAGAACAGTTTGAAACTGATTATTAATGAAGTATCATTGCAGATTTGCAGGCTTAAGGTAAGAAGAGAATATTTTGATCTAACTTTATCAACAAACCACAACTTTCAATCTTGCAGCAATGAAAGTAGAAGTACCTCTTCCAAGATGCCAAAACTCTCCATTACAGAGTTGAACTATTTCTGGCTAAATTTACACACTTCAGCTTTCATCCTTTGAATCTCAGCCATATTTTTTCTGCATTTAAAACTTCTATGCTACAATCATTACTTTAGACAGCTTCTGTACCCACAGAGTACTTTAGATACGGTGGGTCAATAGAGGTATATCGCATACATATTTCCCAGCATACCTCCCACATGCCAGTATATCACTCTGTGGCAAATTATTTCCTTGCCATTTTGATAGTTGATATTCCACAGTAAGTTGCTCACAGCACAGAGCAACACTTCTCTCAGAAAGCAGATGAGAAGCAGGCATATATTGATTAGCTGTCAGGTCCAATTTTGCTTTCAACAGTGCCTTATGCTTAAGGTGAATCCATTCCTCAATAAGAAAATGACTTATTAAATCCAGTTACTTTGCTACTTTTATTGGTCATGATTCTTCCCTACCAAAAACTGACTGCACTTGAAACTATCTACAGTCAGCAATGACCAGAAGCAGAGAGATCGCTTCTCATTCAGGCAAATTAGCTAAATTTGTGCATGCATTTGAGTCCATGCTTTAATTGCCAAAGATAGTAATTAAGCACAGTTTGGACAGTGTCAATACAAAACACATTTACGTGTGAAATTAGAATAGTATCACAGAGGCAGTAAACCAATTGGATGAGTTCATTATGAACTAAGGATCTAGATTACTACTTTTCCAGACAACAATTAAAAATACAAGTCAAATAAGTTTTCATTATCCTGAAGAAACATCCAACATTATTCTTCTACAGGACAAGCTAATTCTGCGTATAAGCTTACTTATGTTTCAGTACTAATAATGCAAAAAAATTTGCAAGTGCTCTACTCCCATTAAAAAACAAAACAAAGGGTTAGGCTTTAGTGATGTCCTCTAAGTCATCTTCAATAGTCTAGTTTGTCTTGAGCAGAAAAAACTTGTACTTTTGTATAGAAGAGGATAACTGCCTAGAAGCAAACTGTTGGGAAAGAGAGGTCATTTCATTTAAAGGGCAAACAGTACTACAAGCGGTAAACCTTCTTAAACTTAAAAAGCGTTCTTCCTCAGAGCTTCTGACAATGAAGGTTTCAGACTCATTTAAAACAAATGGTGAAATTCTGGACATCTGAATGCTCTCAAACCATCAGATGTTACTGAAAGTCTACAGCTGCAGTATAACATACAAACACTAGGAGAGCATCTTCTAGGGGGAAAAAAATCCCACAACCATGCATTTATCACAGTTTGACCCCCATAGGTTCAAAACATATTTGGGGAAGGGGGGGGGGGGGGGAAATGGGACAGGGAAGAGGCACAACGATGCTCTTTATGACTGTTCACCCTTAATTCATCACAACAAACTTGTTATAGCATACTTACATCCACAGTAAAACACTCCTCTATCGTTTTTAGAATAAGCACATACAATTTCTTTAACTACAACCTATTCTATTGTTCTGGACATTTGCCAAACAAGCACTTCAAGTGACTGGTCATGAAAAGTGGACTGAAACTCTCCCTTAAGTTTTTGCTTAGTCATAAGTGTTTGTTATGCAGGGAGCATGGAAAAAAAAAACAAAACCCAAAACCCCAACTTTTGTATCTGCGTCTTAATTTTCTCTTTCTCCATTGTGGATTACAAGCTTTAACTCAGCAGTGGTATACCCCTTTATAATATTAAGGACTTATAGCATACAGTTATTTAATTCAGTGGACAGTTGCATCTTAAGGTGAAAGATTTCTCAAACTTTAAACCCTGAAGTTTATACAGATCTGAAAGATTTTCTGTCTCCTTCCTAAGCAGCCTTGATTATCTACAGCTAGCTGTCAAAAGACTAATATTGCAGAGCATGCATCGTTTCATAAGCAAACTAAATGATCAAAAAATCGTATGTTTTCTCTGTGTTGAGGGTGGTGGGATAGAGGACGGTGAGAGAAAAGAGGTGCAAATGACGAAGCAAGACAAAGCAGCCTCAAGTACAAACGCCTGTGGAGTACATTGACTGGCCACTGGGTGTCACTATTGATTTGACTTGGAGTTACAAGACAAAAATCTACATCTAAGTGCTTATGGACTGAAGAAAAACAAATTTATTTTTAAACTCCATCTATACAGATGCAAGTATATCGGATTTTTTGGCATAAGGAAGAGAGAGAAGTGAGGAAAAGAAAAGGAAGATCAAAATAGCAGAGAAAGCAGTTTCCAAACAGGAGATGATGGGGACGTGTGACAGGAAAAGTCTGCAAGTTCTGAACTTCTCTGTTTGCAAATTGAGAGGCGGAGAGGGGTTCGACAATAACATTTGCATGCACCTCACAACCTCTGAAACAGCATAAGAAGCTTCATAAGGCCCTGGAGAACATGAGCAACCTCTGAGAGCTCAAAACTCATTTAAAACTCTGGTTTGCTTTAGGAGAAGGACTGACTTACCTGTAGCGACATCATGTCTGGCCTGTACTGTTTACGGAACCCAAGGTCATACATGAGGAATTTCAGCATTTCAAAGGCCTGTTCTTCACTCATGTGTAGAAGCAGCACTCCAGCTACAAAGCTGATACCTTGACAATAACCCACTTCTTTGTCCAGCAAAGAGTATGCTTTCAGGAGATTAAAGAGTGATAGCTGTCCTGCTCCCAGGTGGGCAGAAAAGTAAGGATGCGTAGGGAATGTCCGTCCTGACATAAAGAGAGAGAAGTAGTTGATATTCAATTCTTCTCAAAAAAACCCATATCCATCTGACAACCAGCACTTCTCTCTTCCCATAGACCACTTCTCTTTGCTTTCACATGCAGGTTGACTTTAGTCAGATCAATCTGTATTTTACCACTGATTTTAGACTGTATCCATTGAGCTTATTTAATATTCTCACCTGCATAGAACTTGCAGAAGTGACTGCTTGATTTCTTTTTTCAGACAGATGTAGAGGAGCAGAAATACAAAGAGCATAACCTAAGAAATCATCTGCTTAGAGACACTAAGTGGCATAAACAGAATGTATCCTGACAACATAGCAAGCAGTGCTGATACAGCAGCATCTATCTCCAGCAACAGCTTCCATTAAGACTGGTGTGTTTTCACTCAAAGACCCACAAAACAAATCAGAAAAATATCTCAGCTACAAACAGACATACCTAGATCTACAAGGATGGCATGCTGTTGAGCAGTCAGTTGTTTTAGAAGTTCTTTGTAAGAGACATCAGGAGGCTGCTGCTTGTTTGGCAGTCTGTGTCTGACTCGATGTTGCACAGCCAAAAACTGCCAAATTTCTCCCCGACGACTTTTTGGTACGCCTGCAGGTCAGTCAAAAAAACAAGAGGCATAAGCAGAGGCATACATTTAGTGCTATAACACAAGAATTTGCTTTGTCATAATCTTGCTCTGTCATCATCTAGGCCGAAGCACTCTGGAGGATCCCTTACAGCCAGCTTCAGAAGTTGTGCACTCTGAAGTGTATTCACTCAGCAGGCACAGTTCAGTTATACTAACTAAACATTAACTACAAATTTATGGTAATTACACTGAGCAGTACATTGGGCTACTGACCTATAGACATCATTGGGCGACTGACCTATAGACATCACTTGATTTGCCACGTCTGAGCTGTTAGCCTCCAGCAGGAAAAGATGCACAACTACATACAGAATGCAGTCCAGCCTGTTTAGAAAGGATGAACTAAATTCACAGGTGTAAAATATGGGGAAGTCTACCTCCTCTTCCCCTTCCTAAAGGGCTGCTCATGTCAGTCCATAGACTTGGAGAAAGATGCACAGATAATAAAAGGCTCAGTTAAAACCTAAAAAAGCATTAATGCTGCATACCAAAGGACACAGAACCACTCATACTGAAAGACATCATTTCTCTCAAGTCAGCCAAGCACCTGTGAAAGCATAACTAAACTAAAATAGTACTTTTGGACTTTCACATACATCCCCCTTTGATATCTGACTGTAAAACAACCTTTGAAAGTCAAAATAAATTGTCAACTCTGCAAATACTTTCCAATCAAATAATTATTTAACAAGTTAGAAAAAGCATATCCTTGTTCCCAACTCTGAACAACAGTCCAGCAGCAGAAGATAGGGCAACAAGGTAAGTCATTTGTTGTCAGTCTTCTGCAGGTCACTTAACAGGAACTCCCTTATTTCGACCACAATTTCCTTTGGTGGCAATTTAAACTTCCCTCCTGTACCACAGCCAGATTACACCGAAATATTATTTTTTAAGCATGTGTAACACAGACATGAGATTCTATGCAGGAGGACACAGAGGTGCAATCAGACTTTACATTCACATTATACTAACAAGGCCCTCTGGCTCCCCTTCCAGCCTATGGCTAGGCCACAGGAAGATCTACTTCAAGACAAAATCCCCAGCCTTTCACTCAAGGAAACAAAATACTAAAAGACCATGTTCCAGACTACAAGATGTGGTTGTTCTGACTCTCTGAAGCTTGGTTGTGATTCCCCTAGGTTTTAGGCACAGTCTGCATTAGACATTACAGTCCTGCCTTCTCAGTTAATAAAATCAGAGCATCTGAAACTCAGAGGCAATTGGATAGGAGCCACAGACCAGAAATCAGAAGGTCAATGTTAGCTGCAGAAGCTCCAAGTCAGTCTTTGATGTAATAATACATGGGCACGAGACACTACTTTCAGGAGTGTGACTATACATGTTTCTGCATTGCTGACATTGTAAGCTGCAGACACAACAGAACCTATTTTCTCTTCGGCAGCAGGAGGTGGGTGCATTTGCAAAAAGAAGGCAATTTTTTCATGATTTTGTGCTACTGGAAAAAGTGTATTGCTGGCAGATTTCCTTCCGTACCAAAAGGGAACAACAACAACAAAAATCTTCAGATTTCATAGTTAAAAGCCATCCGCCATAAATACCTTCTTTCAAAGTGGAATGAATATCTTCCATGTCACATCGGATTTTGGCTCTGCAGTTTAGTAACTTCTTATCCCAAACATTTATGACATCTTTCTGACATGTACCAACTTCATCATAGTCCAGTTTTACTTTTCTTGATTGAAGCTCATCTCTGCTTGCTAGAGCACAGAACAGAAAGGAAGAGCACATGGAAAACCAGAACATCAGAAAATGACAAGAGACATCAAATACGCAAAACCCATTCAAGTTAGATATATCTATCTGATAATCTGACTAGGCATAAACACACCTTCTACAATTCATCAGTTAATAGCTGAGATGGGGCCAGTCTTTTGTTATAAGATGCTGCAGGTAACATTTTAACTTCTATTACCGAGCCACGAACATTAGCAATTCATGAAGTACATGAAAACATTTTTTAAGGCTTGGGGCAAGAAGAAAAACCCACTCAACACAGTCAACTTCACCACATCTGCTGCTTCTTTCAACTGCAAAAACACCTTTGATCATTTTTCTCTTGTTTATATTGAGCCTTACAATTGTTTTAGTGTGGAAAGTCCCAAATATATGAATGTTTATATCAGAGATTTAAGCAAGCAAGCTAGGCAAGTCTTCTAAACTGAAGTTGGTCACACTGGTTCCAGTTTTTACATGTCCCTTAAGACAGTGGTAAGAGCTCTTGGCACTGCTACCTGGCATCATCAGGCTGACTACAAGTAAACATAATGAACCAACATGAACCATATCCAGAAAGGTACATCTGTGCTGAAGCACAGAACTCACATTGCTGAAGACTTAGAAGGTTTGCTGCATAGGACTACCTGGCACAAAATATTTATTCCAGAGGACTCACTATTTTTGAAGTAAAGCTACATTGTTACTCTGGAATTTCATGGAGGAGCAGCTTTCATTTCCATTACTGAGACATTAACTGTAGTTATTTTATTACACATGACATGCATGCAGAAAAACACTCCAATTCCTTGTACTACTGGTGTAAAAAACTGGAATCAAGACCTGAATGTGTCTTAATTTACAGAGATAGGTTTCATTATCGTTGGACTGAATTGTACATTTCACAACACGACCTCTGAAAGCTGCAACTGTGTTTATTCCAAATTCGACTTGCTCCCTATGCAGTACTTACTCCTTCCTCTTACAGCTGTACCCCCCACCCCACCATCATCTCTAGGTGAAAGCAAACTCTCAATCACATTTTTATACAACCTGCAAAACAAGACAATCAGTTCCTTCGCCTAATCATCTCACTTTGGATACAGCCAATATTGGATGAATCCATATGATCATTGCCTAGCCCACTCAAAAAATTTAGGTGATAAATTATTTCCAAAAGCTGTATGTCACACCTCTGAGACTATATCTATTCAAGACTACAGGGGGGGGGTTGTAAAAACAACTGTTATGCAAGGTGCAGTACACTTCCATAAAAATGAGAATGTGATCTCATCACAAGAATTTGCAGTCCAACCGGAGCAATTTTAAATGTTACCCTATTGCTGCACAGAATGCATCTGAGAATGCTCACTCTCCTAAGCAGTATGCGACAGATTCAAGACAACAGTAACATATTTCAGTGTGACAATGAACTCCAGGATTGAGTGCACAGGTTATCATTCACTGAACCGTACTTTGGCTCTGCAGTTAACCCTAGTGAAAGTCAGCAAGCTTGCTTGTTGATCATATTTGTCCTGCCTACTATGCCACCTGTGGCTGCTTGCAACCATCCTTGGTAACATTTTTCCTAATCATCGCTAGGTGGCCTACTACTTTTCGTAGTTGTATTTCTCGGTGATCTACTGGAAAAAGTACCTTTTAGCTTCTCAGAAAAAAAAAAAAGCAAGTTTGTGCAATTCACAGAACTTACCTTCTATAAAACAAAGAGCTAATAGTATTCAAGTCTCCTCGACAGCAAAAGGAATAGGAAAAGAGGTTCTATTAATATTTTGTAAATAAAAATCAAGAAAACATTATCAGAAAACCACTAAAAACAACTCCACAGCAATTCCAGTCTTCAACCAGTCATATACAGCTGAATAAATTCACAGCTAGGAACCTGGCTTCAAGTACAGAAATGGCTGCATTTCTGTTATTACATTTCCCATTCCCGAGATCTACATTTAATTGTAGGCTAGGATGCCAATCACTGCCCGAACCAGCACTTGTTTGGAATGTATCAGTTCTGCATATGTCCTGTCCGTAAAATGGCCCATGTTACAGCAGCCCACAGGAAGGAAGCCTAAAGATAGGCATTAAGACAGTTTACTTTTCACCCTTTGAAAATAAGAAGATGAATTCTAGCTAGCCAGAGCACCAGTGTCACTAGCAGTACTTATGAACCTGCACGTAAGAATGGAGATATGCTGCTTGGAGCACAAACCGAGATGTGGGCTGGCAGATGACGACCAGTTTGGAGTCTCCACTACTGGCACTCCTGTTTTCACCACAAATGATCAAGCAGGCAGAACTTATTTTCTACATATCCGTTACACAATGGAAATAACTTATAACTAGGTCTTAAGGAACTGGACTGATTTAACAGTTTTCAGTACGTCCACCCATGCAGGGTGGGTGGGTACAGAAAAGAGTTTGTCCCTCAGCAGCTCATACTACCGGAGGGAACAACATGAAATTAGTCACTACAGAAGACATCCAGCTTCCCCACCCCACAACAGTAGACTGTTTGCTAAAACAATAAACAAAGATTTTGGCTGAAGTTAAAACAGACTTCTCTGTAGATGTTTCCTATGAATCTAGGGGTTTCCACAGAAGTGTGTGTCAACAGGGAGATGAACTGTAGAGAAAATGCACAGAGAAATACGCTACATGTGTAGGAAATATATTCAAGGATGTACACTTGTAGGGACATGGGAAGACTTCTGTCCTGCTGTTCTTCTCTCCTCTCCCTGCCTTTTCAGTAAGCACCACTAAAGGAGGGAAAAGAGTTAACTGACCTTAACAAGATCATCATGTTTTGTTTGAAGAATCAGAGTACCATATAATGAGGTTATACACCATACAGGAGAAGATGAGGGCAGCAATTGCAGAGAGGACATTTAAAATTTTCAACTTGCACCGAAAGCTATTAGTCTATTATACTGAAGATCTTCTATATGCTAGGATAGACATTGCATCCTATCTTTCATTTGTGTAAGTCTTCATCAGTCATAATAAAGTATCTTAGCCAGAAGCTCAGGCAGCTAAGTCGGCATGGCCAACTGCAGATCTCTCAGTAACAGCACTCAATTTTCAATGTACAGTGCTCATCTACCAAAAAAAGAACTTTCTGACATAACTCAAGAGCCAGTTACTCAAAAATCGTATCTGGATTTAAATATTTATAAATCACCACTGTGATGTGGTTAATGAAGGACAGAAAGCCTAGACAGAAATGCCACACACTGCAAAGGACTGAAACGAAATATAGAGGGTAAGCTTCACCATACCTAAGTGTTCACACATGGCATCTGTTCTCCTGACTCCACTTCACATTATAATTCCTAGACTTACATCAGCTAGAACACAGACTGTAGCAACCTTAGTCTAACATGCACTAAAAAAGGAAAAAGTTATCGCTTTCTTCTTTAAATAAAGTAACTCCTTAAGAGTTGGCAGGTAGACAGAGAACCTGGTAGACTGTGAGATAGGACTGAGTGAACACTTTTTTTTCTAGCACGGTTAACCAAAAAGTTACAGAACCACATCTCTGAGGTGCCCAGCACCAGTACAGTTTTCAGCTTAGGGCAACAGAATTTGTAATAGTTTTTAGGGGTATTTTCTAAATAGCTAACCTTCCAGCTTCTGGTTTTCTTTTTCCATTCGAAGTAACAGAATTTGTTGATGGATGGCTTTTCTCCACAGACTTTGTAGTTCTTCTGAGTTTTTCCTCTCTCCAGTTTTATCTGGACCATCCTCATTTTGCAATACTAGAACAAAAGGGTCCTCCTCCAGGGGTGGAGCAAGAGGGGATAACGGTAACAATTCACTTCCATCATGACCATCTGCAAAGAATCAGAAAGCTATTACGGGAAACTCAGATTGTTTGACATATTACAAAAATCTAAGTCACAGCAGAACAAAAATAGCTGTCTTCCACATTCGACAGTGAGGTGCTGATTCCAAAGACAAAGAAAATGCAGTTCAACAGTAGAGAATTATTTTTAAATAAAGTGTTTTATTTAAATTAAATGAAGTTATATTGAAATGAAATAAAGCTAAATAAAGGGTCACCCAGTTTTTCAACCCTTTCCCCTGCTAGCTCCTTCTAGATTTACAAAGAGACATTTATCCATAAAGTCTCCTTTACAGCTGAGATTGTTTACTGCTGTGATTTACCACAGGCTCTATACTAAAAGCAACTTTTTCCATCCGCTAAGCTGCACTATAGGCAGTGCTACAGCACTTTATGGTCACTAAATACAGAGTTTGTCATTTACCTATGGTTGTGAATTCCGCCAACGGGACTTTATCAACATAGCAGGATTTCAGATATTTCAGAGATTTCTACCTTAAATGACCTAAAGCTGTAAGAATTATTAACACACTCAACAGGTGCTATGTGCAGTACAAGGACAAGGCAGAAAATTTACGATTTTCTGCAAACACTGCTATTACGTAAGCAGGCTAGGGTAAAAATTTGCTAACTGTTAAAGGGGTTATCTTTGTCAGCAAGAGGCAGTTCTTCATTTCCTTGCTACCAGTGCAGCCACGGCAGATTGCAATTTATTTGATTTTGGTGACAGAATCCTCTGTTCAAAGCAACAAAGACCTAAAGGCAACTGAGCACAACTGATGTCTAGCGAGGTTCTAGCAAGAATATTGTATCAAGCTGACTCCCTCCTCCCTTTCATATTTTCACATGTTGCAGTTCACTATAGTAATAACTATTCAGTAACAACTGCTTGTTTATTTTCTTTAAAAGCACACACAGACCTGGATGCTGCATCTTGGAAGGAGATTTATTCATAGGTGAAGCTACCTGCAGGAATATTCTTCGCCGCCAGGAGATGCGGCGAGGTGTGAGCGTGGCCCCCACAGCATTTAGAGATTCACTGCTGCAGACAGTTGATGTTCTTTTCTTTCCCTCCCCATCACTGAAGGAAAGAAAAAAGCAGATGGGGTGATCAAAGTCAGTCACATTTGGAGGAAAAAAAAAACAACAAAACCCACACTTTTATTAAGTCTGTCTAATGTACAGCCAAACCTGCAGGAGCATTTGCTGGGAAGCTTTAGAAGGGAAAGCATGCTGTGTGTGAGCTTCACCTTGAATACAGAAGTGCCCAATTGTTTTCTTGTAACACAGTGCTGTGAAGTTTGCACTACATACCACCAGGAAGAATTCATAGCATTCATACAGTGCTCAGCTGGAAGCTCAGAATAAAAGTCAGACTCTCTGAAAAGCTAAGAGAAAAAAACGTGGCAATATTTAGCCTCTAAAATAGACAGCAATGGGTTTTGTTTTGCCATACCTTAGTCTTACAGGGGCAATCAGATGCAATACCCCTAAAAGCACAGGTGTTGCTTTAGCAGACCACAACACTCCATTTAGTGCCATTCTAAATGGCATGATGAGCTCTCAGGTGAATATTTCATTGGAGGCAATGTTCTGGCCTTCTCATGCAACCTCCTTCCTATGCTTCAAGAAGTGGACACTTCACTTGCACGAATGGGGCCAAACGTCCTCATGTTTCATTAGCATCTCCAGCTGAAGGAACGGAGCCTTTGCAAACATAGGGCAGGCTCAGTTCTTACCACAGTGACCTGAAAGGAGCTGATCTCTTCCCCAGTTGCCATGTAGAAATATATTTACACAGTAATTTTAATAGTAGCTTATGTTGCTGGAAGAGGCAAGGAGAGGATACAGGGAAGCTTTGCTGGGAGGTTATTTTAAGAAGACACCAAGCACACCTCTCTACTGACTATTGTCAGAGGAAAGGACATTTAGCTTTTGTAAGTACTTGAGCCACTTTCAGAAATATTTCAGCATTTTGCATTTGTGGTAGTAAAGTAAGTGCACAGATCTCATACAGGAATGGATATATTGATTACCTGCCACAAATCCTTCCATGCAATGCCAACAGCATGACACACAACTACAGGCTTCTTGGGACAACAGCTTCAAATACGAGGAGCTGTGTCTGCAGCTTCATCTTAATTACATGGAAAACTGCTATATCAACACAGCAGTAGCTACACTCGGAAACCTTTGTCTTGTGAAGAATTTCCATGCTACAGAGCAAAGTCCCTAAAACGAGTTAGATGAAAGGAAAGCCCAGCACATTAAGTGTTCACTATGTTTTTAGTGGTAAGTTAGTTGCAGATGATGGGCAGTTTGCCAGCTGCAGTCCGTCTCCCCACATTTGGCTTGCACAAAAGGAGAGACCTGCAAGGGACGCAGACTATGAAGTTTCAGCTACACCAGTCTACCAGCTACACTATCTCAATCAGCACTTTTCGTATCAAATACTCTGTGCTGAATGATAATCCACCAAGCTAGAATTGGCCTTTTTGGTGACCAAAGCTGTCCCTATGCTAATGATCCACAGCAGCTCCCTGACATCTCTAAGCCTCAGTGAACAAACTGGACTCACTATCATGAACAGGTATCAGACCCTGTTTCCATATCCTGGCGGAGAAATAATCATGTCTTCAAGTTCATCTACACAGCATTAGGCACCCCCCTGCCCTCCTCTAAGAACAGTGCTATGGGCTGGGAGCCCTGGATAACAGATAGTCTTAATTATTCTCTACTTCCAATTCAGTTTCTGCAGTGCCTCAGTTCCCTATGCATCATACTGTGAGTAGGTGGTCTCAGTAGAACCTCATGTTGCACTAACCAAAACAGCAACAGAAAACCCTGTGACAATCTTTTTTCGCTAACTCTTACACAGCCTTTAGTGATGGGGTAACTACTGCTTGTGCTAGCTAAACATGGACTACAAAACCAGTTTTGAATCTAGAGGTGCTGTTTTCCAAAGGTATTTCAGTCCAACAACTCTTGAAATATGGTATTGAGTTTGGATATATTAATCATTATAACTCATGCTCCTATAAATAAAACTGTAACGAAACTACTTCCCGCTATTTCAGGTCTTACATATCACATGTTAGAACACAAAAACTGAGTCATTCCAGGTCTTACAAAATAGAAGCTACATGACAAGGGAATGAAAACTTCCTTTCTACTGCTATGTACAAAAATCTACATTCAGCTACCGTGTCCCTAACCGTGCAGACAGCACTAGGAATAGCGTTCCTTTTAGAGTAGTAAAATTTACAGGAAAGTCAGAATAAGGTGGTGGCTATTTTAGGGTATGAAACAAAGCCATCTACATCATCTGAGTCACAGAGTTTACAGTGGGATGGATTAGTCACATGTGCTACCTCGTGAAGTGTGCAAATCATACAGTTCTGAGGACCTGTATTTCTATTGTTAAACACTCCCTTCCAAAATTCCCCTGGCATTTTAAGCAACTAACATTAATCACCTCATCTTTCAAAGAGCTGTCTGATGAGCGATTAGAGAAAAACTTTTGAAAGTCTCGTGCGTACACCTTGCCATATTCAATGGAAGGCAAGGGCACCTGTGAAAACACCAAGATTTAGGAAAAGGAGCAAAGAAAGTTTCCTTGTTTCAAGACAGACAGACAAGTCCTAGCTTAACATCAGATCTGAAGATGTGAAACAATACCCTACAGAGTAAAAGCAGGAAGAAGTTGGAGTAAAATGGTAGCGTCTCCTATCCTGTGATGAAACGGTTCAGAAGGTTGGTGCAAAAACCAGATGAGTTAACTCAATTACATATTCCCCACCTTTAAACAGGAGTTACACAATACTTATTCCCTAGACAGTACAATTTCTCATACCTAAACTTAACTGACTGGCTTCACTCTTGGTCATATTTGCATGATTACTTCAGGTTTTAAGGTAGCCATGGATTTTAACAGCCAGGCAGTTAGGTGCTCTGCTCAGACAGGCCAGCAACGCCTCATACAGTTCCTCCAAACAGGGTGAGCATAAAGAAAAAAAGTATATTGGACCATTAGCTATCAGCTCCCCACAAAATGAAGAGGTTTATTAATGTGAGTGGAGAGACTAAGAGCAAAAGCAACTCCAAAACAACAACTTAAATGGAGTTCAGTCATTACTATTGAAAAGCTAAGCAGAGTTTTCACAACCTCCCAACCTGGGGAAACAGAGGCTTTCACAACTTTCCTGTCAGAGCACTGATATCGAACCTCAAACACTCACAGGAAAAATACTCAACTGAGCAAGATGAAATGCACCAGAGTCAATGGGCTGCAAATTAAGAGATGGCAGTATATAAAATCTTAATGAAGTACAGAAGAGCTATTTAAGAACTGAACTGCAAAATAGGACATGATTGCAAGAATTGATTTTTTTTACTTTACTCTTATTTATTTATTTTAAGAAAATGACAACTAGATTACGGTACAGCTTCTACATCAGAGTATTTCAGCTTGGTAAAACAGACATATGAAACGGCAAAGCCAAAGAGTTCAATAGAGAAATTCCACAAAATGGAGTATTTGCAATTTATTTTATGTACTGTTCCTGTTTTAATCACTTAACATACTTCCCACGCAGCTCTGGAAAACGATAACAATGTAATACTCTATATTTAAGACAAATGCACTACATTTCAGTTTGAAGAATAATGGCTCTCCATAAGGCTATTTAGCCTATGCTCCTGGCCCAACACAGAAACCAAAAGCATTCATCAGCTTGTATGCAATAAAAAGTGAAAAGCTATAAATTCAATATAATGCCTCAAATATTTCAGTCTGTACTTTCACCCTTAAGCTGTTACAAGTGATAACCCAAGTACTCAAAGAGTACAGAGTACGCATCATCTAAGCTTTTTATCTCACGTAACTGCAACTCAGTTTCACCCAAGCATCATCTCATTCACTATTCTATCAGATAATGCATAGTATGAAGATGACACAGCTAGTTTAGGGGAAAAAAAAGAAAAAAGAAGTAAAAACTCAAAAAACTTGTTCAGATTACAAACATGCTTATTGTTTTGTTTCAATTACCTAAACCTCATGCCAAAAACTGTTCTTTAAAATGCCCCCAAAGACTGATATTCAAAAAACCACAAAGCTACCCCTTTTCTTGTGAACTCTTTACACAATGCTTATCTGAGTTATTTTGCACTTGAGTACATGCAAGCCAACTGACTCGAGAATGAATACTGTTGCTGCTCATGCCAAGGTCTGCATTTTTCCCCAGTTTGCTTTATTTCAACTTCTTCTCTTGATTGCTCCAAGCAGCAATTGCATCAACTCGACCTACTCTCCAATTTGGAGGCTGAAATGGTACAAAATCCCCCAGATCACGTATAGACAGACAACTAATATTTCAGCTCCCAGGACTTAAGCTGGCAGAAGCCTATATGTAAGCCTAATACATGAAGTATTTTATTGCTCCCCTCTGGGAGGAAGAAAAACTAGTTCTGATCAGTTTACACCTCTCTCTTGGTTCTCACTCCTGTCACATATTTTTATTCTGAATAATTAGTTTCTGCTATTTTGTTTAAAGAACATTCTCAAGTATTTTACTTTCTTCGTGAGAAATGAAGCTGTTTTAAAAAAGCAATCTGTTCAAATTCAAGTGGCGGTAAATCATCTTAAATTATCCTTGCATAACAATGCAATGAACAGGGGCAGTGTGGGCTAATCAAACCTATGCTGAAGGTTGTCCCATTTTTTAAAGTGCTGCTTTTATTTTTATATTAAAAAACCAAACAGATTCTTCCAATAGCCTAGCTTTCAGGAGTAGCTGTTGAATAAAAGCCAGAAATTCCAGAAGTTACAGAAATGAAAGTTTAAGAGCAGATTATGCTCTCGAATTCCTGTTTGTTTACCTCTATGATGGCAGGATTATTTTTTTTTAATCCTTTTATGTGCTTGTGTTCAATATTAAATGCTGCACAACACACTTGTCAGAAGTCAAGATTATGTGGACCACTTCCACCTCAGACTTCTCTCTAGACAAATGAATCGACAATGCAGTAAAAACATTCTGAAGGCACCTATTAATACTGTGTTGATGCCCAATTTTACTATACTGTTCATTCCTTAAAGCAAAAAAATGTATCAGTGTTTCCTTTCTTCCACATAAAGCATCACAGTAGTAATCATTAGACCTCAACCCAAAAAGCTCAGCCTCCCCACAAACGTCAAGAAAAAAGATATATCTTTCACCATAGTGAACTTATCTGGAGAATAATTTTTTTTTTCCTCCTAGCTTTAGGTATCTCCAACACAGCCAATTAAATCCTAGCAAGTCAACTCAGACTCCCTTTTTAATAGAGGTCAAGACACAAAATTTTAAGGCATGATTCACGCTCTCTAAATGAAGATGTTCCCAGTGACAGGCACAACTGGCTGTATTAGTGTTCATGAAGGAAGGCAGATAAATAGGCAAGATCAGTTCTGTAAATGTCAGAATATTAAAGACAATCACATTAGGATGAGAGCAACTGTGCTGCAGAAACACCAACTTCTTTCCATTGATTAGATGAGATGAAGATATCTACAATCAGGTGAGAACCACTGTACCCAGCATCTCCAACACCCTAGTATCAGTTTCTGAGTTTGTAACCGTATGCCAAATGTCATGTAAACATGGATCAGAATCATCTTCTATACAGCAGCCAATACATAAAGCCACATAGATAATATGCAGAGTTGCTTTTTATATGTAACACCCAGCTCCCCAGCTGACCCTGGCTTGGTGTTATTTGCATAGGCCCATCTGACTGCTACAAACCAAACATCTTTCTAAAATGAATTCCGACTGAAACCGGCTCCACTCCTGCACATCGAAGATCACCAGAACACCAAGAAAAGCTGCCTGCTGCATCATGTGTAATTTCAAAGCTACATGTTATGAGAAGTCAGACTATAAGAATTTTTCTTCAGTGCAATGTGGCTAGGATACACTTCATGAATGCGTAGTAACCATGGTTATTCTTAGAGAGGAAAATGCACTGAAGTTTTAATTAGGGTTCCTAACAGTTAAACAGCTTATAGTCTTCAGATTGTAAGGGACTGCCACACCATGCTCAATTCCAGCCAACATACACTCGCACAAGAACGCTAAGAACACCTCACATTGAGCCTATTGGGATAGAATATGGTCCTCTCTGTGGAAAAATAGCCAAAGTTAAAAAAAAAACACAACCAAAACCAAACAACAAACCAAGCCACAAGAAAAAGCACACTGTAAAAAATTTGAACTTCCTCTCATTCATAAATTTGATGATTTGATGTCACAACACACACTTGCAAGCTAAAGCAGGAAAAGTTTAGAGTTTCAGCCACCGTCAGTTGGACAACATATTTCATTCTCCATTAGCCAGTTCAAGTGACAGCTGGATTACCTCAGTCACTCTTATCACATCAGCATTATTCATGCAGCACTTCTGACTGTATTTGTTGTATTCGCATCATGAACCCAACTAGATGCCAACGATACAGTCTTGCTACTGCAATTTCCTTACCATGACAGTTCAGGCTCAGTTGCTCCCAGCAAGACCTATAGCTAATGAGATTCCATTTTCGAGAGAGTTTTCACACAAATTCAAGACTAAATGGTATCAGAAACCTGTATACTACAAAACCTAAGTAGAAACAAGGTTGTCTTCTGGGAATTACTGCTAATTTTAAGATCTCCCCACCCTACATTTCAAAACTCCATTATAATGAAATGCAGTATCTTGAAAAATGTGCATAACCAATTCCAGAAAGAGTAATATCTCAGAAATTTCAGCTTGGAATTAGCTGGCATTAAAGTACAGGTTTAGTACAATACTGAATACCTACATTCCCCAAATCCAGAAAGCTAGGTTTAATGGGATACAGCTGCCTGTACAAACTGACCTGGGCATTGGTTCAGCTTGGACCGAGTCTGCTAACTGAAGCGAACACAGAAACAAAGTTGGAGTGGAACCCAAATAAGAGGTAGTCTGCAAGAGACAGGTAAATTTTTTGCCATTCCTCTGCACATCCTGGTGTGTAATCATCAGTTTCCTGAATTTCAACTTTAATAATTCACCTGCTACTTCGTCTAGTGTTACTGCAGTATAGTAGGGAATGGAAAGTCTAGGCATCCAATTCACTTAAATAGTAACTATTACTGGACACAAGGTTTAGAACAGGCAATATTAAAAGCCTACTTCTACACTGGACAAGATGTCAATCTCTCCTCTCAAATTTCAAAAACATACACTGCTTATTCCTTATTCATTTGTGCTTGGGTAAAAAGGTGGGGTCACTTTAAAGCGACACTCTTTTCAGAACTGTGAAATATTTCTAAGACTGGTTTTGCAAAGACCTCCAAAAATTAAGGAATTATTAGTTTACATTAGCCCTCTGTTAGAAAGTCAATCTAGATAATTTACCATTTACTTCTTAAAAGCTGTGGGATTTGGGGGAGGGGAGCGGGGGGGGGGGGCACGGAATGAGGGTCGCGGCCTGCAGTGGTCCTGCCACTACAGCTATGATGCAGTCATCTTCTTGTAGGAATGTCTCACCTTATTCCACTTATACACAAGTTTATTCTGCTGGAAGAACCTAAACTGTAGGAATTTCCCGCTAGGTGTTTTGTAATTGTGCCTACACTACAGTTTTGGGCTGCATGCTATATACCAATTACAGATTACAGGCCAGAAAGAGACACTTTAAATGTCAGTGGAATCAAGGTAGGATATAGTGTGCTTAAGGAGATGATACATACTTTGTATTTATTCTAACCTATATATATATATATATATATAAAATATTAGAGATGACTAACCCAAACTGTACCTTAAAGCCACCTTTAGGTCAAACGCCTCTCACATTAGTTTGTATACTTACTTAATTTCTTACACCTACCCTAAAACGGAGATGACAAACTAATCTATGTTTAATGAAACTGTACTCCACAAGGTGAAAAAATTTCTTCAGGCACTCCTAAAAACTTCCACACCCATCTCATACAACTGAAATTCCCATGCCTTAGAGTCCTAACACACCCAGAATCCAGGTATCATCAACACTTGTTTTCGGTAAGAATGCAATCTACTGTTATTTTTCCAGGGAGAAACAGTCACAAAAGCACCTTCAACAACTCCAGTTTTCTGTTGGGAACTATTAGGGGAGGGCCACATCCAGAGATGAAGAGTACCAGAAACACAAGTATAGTTCAGCGAACAAGGACAGACTGGTGAAGGAAAAAGGAGTTGTCCTTGGCAGAAGAGAGACAAAAAGGCCAGCAACTGGCAAACAAACGTCATGAAGTTCAAAACTATGGCTCCACCTCATTCACTACAGGCCTACTTCAGAAAAATAACCCATACGCAGTTTCCTCAAGCACCTTCCTGAAGAAGGGCCTATTCTTACAGTAAAAAGAAGCGTGACTTCCATTCAGATACTCAGCTTTCACACTGATGTCAGAAAGCCCTTCTTGTATCTTCGCTTCTTCCCCACTCCTCTTCAATTGGAAGTTATTTGCTGATTCTCTCTAAACATCTCACAGTTAGCATCACCCAGCTAACTTGGCACTTCCCTGTCCTCGTGCACAGGCATCCCACGTTAGTACTGTACACTCTTCACATTGCTGTTTTCTTAATTTCACATGCCAATGATCACAGCAACACATGCTGGTTTGCATTCAGCAGAGAAAGCATTAAATTGGCGTGACAGTCCTAAAAACCATTGCATTTCAAGTGACAAACCAATGCAGCAGATTTGCAACACTGCAAGAGAAACAGGTCACAGCTACTAGATGTCAGCAGACAAGCCTCTATTTTTCACAGGCTTTTTTGGCTAAAAGCTTGTTTGCCCATTTGCATCAAGTACCTAGGAAGTCTGTTAGAAATGCAGGAGCACAAGGCAGAGTGGGAGAGATCCCATGTGCTGCATTTGCACTGGGAATCCTGTTGTTAAACTGGTGGCACTGAAGAACTAGGCAGGAGACAATGCTCTCACCTCTTGGAGAGGTCACTTTCTGAGTGCTGGAGCAACCTTCCTGAGCCCTGGTAAAAGGTTTTCAGGAAAGAAGGGGCAGAGACAGAGGAGGAGAGACCAGGTGATGCAGACTCACTCTCACTGAAAGCGCGCCGAACCCCGACAGTAGGACTGTGCAGGCAACAAGAGAACATAGCAGATGGGTCAGCATGGGTTCGGACACAACAAAACATCCAGATTAAAGATACTGGCCAAGTACCTCATCTTGGTTTACAGTAACTCTGTTTCCCAGAAGATAGAATGTACCAAGTGCACTACTGGGTAGTTTCCCTGGTGATACCGATTTTGCTGTTACAGCTGATTTCTTTTAAGAAACATTTCAATGACATTGCAGAACAGGCAGACCACTTTTATTTCTTTAGCCTTATTTATTCTCAAAGCAAATTCAGAAAAAGAATCTCTGAAACATTCAGAAAATATCCTTAGAAACCTGCTTCCAATAACTTGAACCACCTTATTTCTTCCCTTCAGTTTTCTCTTGCTTTTGTAAATAACGTGTATTGCTAGAACACATTAGAAAGTAGAGATTATTTAAATGCAATGCTTGCCGATAAATTTTTGTGAAGCGTTTAAATCAAGAAAGCTAGTCCTACTACACAGTTAAACATTACATAATAATAGTAACAGGTGTTGGGGGGACATAAAAATTAATTCAGTTTCTTTTACTTAACATTTTTGATTAATCCTCAATAGCAAAGGAGAGAAGGAAAAATCCCAGCCTAGAACAAAGTTCTTACAAACTGTTTTGACTGAAAATCTGCTGATGATGCCACTTAAATCAGTGACTTCTTAAAAGTTATTACAAAGAAGTGAAGTCAGCAAGTCCTTCAGTTTGAACTGTCAGGGTTTCCTGTTTGCATACAACACAGTCAGTGGAAAAAACAATAACCAAAGTTTATCTCAGTAAAAAAAACATTATTTATCTCTTCAGAAACACAATGTAACAAAGCTACTTCAAGGCTAGTTTCTTACCCTTCACCCCCTTCTACTCTCTTAAACAGAATAAACTTTTTTGCCGTTCTCTAGAAGCTGGTGCAGCATTCACACTGATATGTTAATCTAGACATCAATAACAGGTGAGAAATTACCATTTAAGGCCATTTTCAGAAAGAGGCTACAAAAAGCATAATTGCAGCCACGCACTGAAACAGACAAGTACTTTGGAGAAAGTGCTCCTCTAACAGAAAAAATTCAGCTCATCTGGGCCTGAATCTTGTAAAGGTTTTGAAGTTTGCACAGTCACTTAACTGCAAATAACCAGGATGGAGGCAGAGAAAGAAAGTACAACCAAAGAGGCCCACAATAAACTGTGGGGACCTCTTCTGACTGAGTGAAGGAACTCCTGAAGGAACACTGTTCCACATGTTAATAGCTGGAGAGTCTCCAAAAAGGAAGGGGAAAGAAGTTACAGAGGGAAGCTCCAGAGAAAGGCAAACAGGGAAATCCCATGCCTGACAGTTCAGTGGAGGTGTTTAATCCTTAAGTTCTTTTGTGAGACTCCTCACCAGTTTTAATTCTGGACATACTCTCCGGGAGCTTTGCCTAACATAGTGACAGACACTTAAAGCTGTCAGTGCCTTTTTCATTTCATAGAATCATCAGGCTACCATCTCTTTTAAAAGTGGCGAGGACGTCTTCTCCAAAGGGCCTGACTACCAACACTGACAAAAAGGCTCAGCTCAGAAGTGGCAAATAAATAAATTAATAGATCAGCGCCAGCATCCAGCCTGATGATCAATTCGCTGGATTGATGCTTCCCCTGAATCACTAATTCAGGGATTAGTGAGTTACTGCAGAGCACCAAACTACTCGGAGGCAGAGAAGACAGGCTGCAAATCAGTAAATAAAACCCAGAGCAGCGCAAAACAGCTTCCGTAAGAAGGAACGCGGGTGACGGTCGTGCACCAAAACCGCAGGAGAGAGCAGGCGCGTGGCGCAGCATGCCCTGACTCACCTTGTCGTCTCGATGCAGCCCTGCCGCAGCAGCGGGGAGCGGACGCTCTGGGACCTCCCGTTCTGGAAGGTTATCCTCCGCTTGGCACTGGAGGGGGGGTGGCTGAAGGTGTGCGCACGCCTCCTGAACTGGGGGGAGTCCGAGTCTTCCTCGGGAAACGGCTGCCAGGCCGAGGACACGGGGGACGCTGGAGGAGTAGCTGGCGGAGAATCGCCCGGCGAAGCGTCCTGAAAGGAAGTGCTGGCGGAGTGAGGCCTGTCGCTCTGCACCCTGCGAGAGCTCTCACCTAACCCCACGGGCCATGCGCCACACCGGGGCACCAAAGCCTCTCCCCCTTCTCGGTCATGGCCTATTGTATGCTAATTATCACCAAAACCAGACATCCTTTGATAACTTACTCCAAACCAGCAGCGTCCTTCTTAAAAAAAAAAAAAGGAGGAGGGAGGAATAAAAAAATATATACAATGCAAACACCACACTAATTACTCTAGGCATCCTCTCACAGGGATCGGCATTCCAGCGACAGGACTCCTCACTCTTTCAGGAAAACACAGGAATTGAAAAGACTAGGGAAACTGCTTTTAGCTAGTTTCCTCGACATATCGCGAGCATACTTCCTGTACCGTCATAGCCATATCCTGGAAGAGAGACTGTTATTACACAGCCAGTTTATGAGTAACTGTAGCAGGAAAACCATAACAGAATCTTCACCTCATGGGAAAACTAGCAACCAATCCTCACGCGAGGTAAAACATTAAAAACAGGAAATAAAAAGAAAGTGAACAGAGTTCTGCCCGCTCGCCCCCATACAGCATCCCCAACAGCTGGTTTTAGGCCAAAAATTCTCACTTCCCTAAAGCAACTGTTACTTACAGAAAGGATTCTTCACCTTCAGAGCATTTCCTTTTGTTGAGATATGACCTTTTTTAATTACTTCAGTGAAACAAGGCAGAACCTGACCAGAAATTCCCTGCTTTTTGTAAAAGCAAAGGAAGTGTAGAAAAAAGAAGCGGCAATCAGAGAACAGATTAAAGCTGAAGCTTCAAGTCAACATCTATGCCAGCTTTCTTACACCCTCTGCCTCCCAGTGGAAACTCTTATTTGAGTTTTGTAAATTGTGCTACTTCCTTCAAGTGGAAGCAGAGTGCCATATTTACACTTCATTAACACCTGCACAGGAAAATGTGCCAATTGTAACTAAGCTCCTTACATACTTTGTCAGAAGCAAGGCTGTTGCAGCGCTCAAAGCTGTCCACGCTTCCCAGGCGGCCCCGCATTCTGTTGGCTCCCTGCAAGAAAAGAACTGAGTAATTTAATCTGGTCTTTTTCTTCTTTTTCTGAGGGTTAAGCAAAGATGGCAACAGCTGCACAGGTGAACACAGGACAGTTCAGGCATGTGACACATTTAACATAAGACCACAGATCATGGGACAAGCACTGGATTTTACAAGCAGTGACATCTTTAGCTGACAACACTGTACCTTCTCCCTCCTTGCTCCCAGGAGTTTTAAACCTGCAGCTCTGTTGTCTGAAGTAACTGAGCATTTCCTGATCCATTGGAGGCAAAATAGCTGAGTTGGCTTAAACAGCCAAGTTCAAAAAGCTCCAGACTTCAGTACTGTGCATGCACTGCAGCTAATGGATGCATTTGACATACTACAATCTCAATAGAGAGTTTACTCCATATCTAGACATTTCAGACAAATTAAGTCCACCTGGGCAAAAGTAGTGAAAGTGCTAAAACTGGGAAAAAATGCTCTCTGGTTGCAAACTCAGCCAAATAGTGCCAAATACAAAGATGACTTTTCAATTATAATGCAGATAACCCTGAGGGAAATTTGCTAGAAATTAGCGTTAGCAGATCTTTGCTGAACTTGTTAACAGTCATCTGGTTTCACAGGAAGAGCTGATAGGGCCACAATACTTTTGACTACCTTCCACTCCTAACTTTAACTCCCATGAAACGTTGGTGAAGTGTGCTGTTGGACATTTCCAACTGCTGAAGTAAGTTGCTTTCAGTACATTATCAGGGGGAAAATAGTCTAGGTTTTAGGAAAACTGTAGATAGAGCTCCTCTTGGTATGCTTGCAACTCCAGGGGAAGTTTTCTCAACATCAGCAGTATTTATTTAGCCTACTTTTTCCTGGTAAGGTTTATTTTCAAGACTTTGAGTGCCCTTTAAGTACATCATCCCATTTAAGCTCATTACCAATGAATACTCTGCCTGAAGCATCTCTTCACTGACCCTCACAATAAAACAAGAGCAAAGGATAACTTGGAAGTTTCTCACTAGCTTTAAAAACACACACTTTTGGCACTGTAAGGAGGGCTTTTTGGTTCGGAAAAAACAACAACAGAAGAGGTTAGTGCAGCATGGACTGGAAGAAATCTGTTCATGAGGTCAAGCAGAGATTATATTTATTTTTCTGAGGTACCTCATTAGGAAGCCACAGCCTGTTTTTAGTTCAAACCTGACAAAAATAAGATCAGTCTAGCAAAACAAACAAGTTAAAAAGTGACATTCCTCTGGGACTAAGTGAAGCCAGAGCACAGAACCCAGAATGTTTCCCTATGGTGAGTAATGAGCAGCTACTCCTTCAAGTAGCTTAAAATGTCACTTGATGCTATTTATCTAGCTAAGAAGCCATCCACTTAAAGTGTTCCTAGATATCTGGTTACTACATACTTATTTCTAATTTTGCTAAGATTGAGGCTGCGTAAGTCTCTCACCCACAGATACGGACTTCTGCTTTTTAGTTAAATCTTTTTATCTACAAAAAGATGCTAAATGCCAACTTTAAAAAACAAAACAAAAACCAAAACCCCCCAAAAACCCCAACTGAAGTTCTTTCCTGGTCTCTTTGTTATTAAATGTACTTTAAAATAAAAATGATAAGTCATAAATAATTAGCATCCCATTACATCAATACCATGTGATTTGCAGCTGGCTTCAGGAGGGGAAAACCCACCACACCAATAGGTATTTGGTGCTTAAATACCTTTAGGAATTAGCCACACTCCTTTAGACTTCTTGTAATAGCCTGATGAAGACTAAGAACCATCACAACAGTCATTGCGTAACACATGTATGCACATAACACACAGTATACACACACAGAGATACTTGCCGTATACTCCTGCTTTAACTAAATAATTAGTGGTTGAGCTGCACTGTAAATTATTTTTCTCGGTCTTGCATTGTGCAACCTTTAAATGGCTCTGCAAGGATGAACTCCTATGTGTATCATGATTCACTACAACATACTGCTGTTGCTGATCTATTCCAGTTTCAAGTTAAAGGTGAGACAACCTTCCTCACAACAGCAAGTCTGCTTCATAAATAGCAAACTTAAAATGGCCCTAATCCAGATTTGGGTGTCCACTTCTCTTGAACTCAATCATGGACTGTGTAGATCCTCATACTATAACATGCAGCATGTCACAGTGGCCCTGGTGAGAGGAACATACTATACCAAAACCAACAATATATAAGCAATTTCCCTTCAGAGGCTCTGCAACTTAAACAGCACATTTCGTCTAAATGATTCTTCCTTGACATGACTGGAGTGCTAATATGTCTGTATATGGCAGGGCTGCTTTACTGGGTTATTCCCAGTGATGTATGCCTGTTTCACAACCACCACAGGATTAGTGACCCACCATCAGAACTAGAACACTTTCCAGTCACATGTTCTTTAGATGTGGAAAAGAAATCAGACTCAGCACAGGCATGACTGTAGCTGTCACCTTTTGATGATATTCCAGAGTGCTGAAATTATCCAGATCTTCTGACTGTCACTGCTCTCTTTTGCATGTGCACGCTTGCTCTCTCCATATTCAGACCAAGTCCCTAGTATGTAAAACCTGCTACACAACACAGGTCAGATTTGACCAAGAGGGTTTTAATGCTCGCTTCAGTCCTAGATCAAACTCATGCCTAACCTTAAGTTCTAAGGATTCTCTGTGGCAAATAATATTTTGCCTCCTTTATAGGGAACATCTGTGGCATCCTACATTTGTAGGTTACTTTATGACATGCCCATATAAGCTGCAGGACAAGTGCAACTTAGGCCTTGATTTAGCATGGTACTTTTAAAATTACTAGCAGAAGGAACTTAATTTCACTGCTCCAAATTATAGTTAGACCTCCCCATCCAGTATTCGCAGCTCATCACACCTCCTCTGTAACAACATACTGAATCCCAGGCACCAAGCCTTCTTCAGTTACTCCTTTATATGCCTCTTCTCTGCTTTTAGGACTCTTCCTACCGAGCAGGAGACACTAAGCAAAACTTGCAATTCAGACTTCTTCTTTAAAAGGCTATTTAATGTAAGAGAGTTCCAGTAATTATCTGCAATTCCACATCATATCTGGCTAGCAACACTGAAATGAAGAACAATTCAGTTTAAGTCTATAGCTTTTTTTTTTTTTTTCCCCCTGAAAAAGGACAACTTTGTTACTACTTTCTAAAGATTCTTAGCGATCAACATAAGCAATTTTAGCTATGGGAGGTAAGGCATTACTTCTCAAAACAGAAAGATTTCCAGGTTATGTAGGCACATTTATACACACTTTCAAAATAAGATAATGTCTCTTTGTGGGATCATGCAACTATCCTGATTAACTTTTTTTATTCTGAAGCAACACATCTGATAATGTTCAGCCAACTCACTTGCCACCTACAATGAACATTCATTATTCAGAAAGTTGCCTTTTTTCCTCTCTATATGTGTGGCCTTACCATAAATTTTCTAGCACAGTTAAGTCACAATCAACCCAGCTGTAACCCTCAGATTTCACAATAGGGATATCACTTCATTAAGTATTTATCAGACTGAGGCCAAAGAACAAAAAAAATCTGATAGGTCTTTACTGTTAAGGATATCTGGGAGAGACGCTGACAATGAGTTGCTAGTCTTACCCTTGAGAAGATATTTTCCAGAGAGCTAGTCAAGGATTTCTTGGCCTTGTTTTTCAGAATGTCAAGTTTAAACCTGCCACCACTGGTGGTGCTTTCTGGAATCGCACTGTTAGAAACGGTCTGTTGAAATGAGCAAGGACACAGTTCAGCTTTAGCAATTCTTTTGCAATTGCAGACCTCCAAAGACTAAAGATGAACCAACTTACGTAACAAAGAACATACCTTTGCCCTTTATTAAAAAAACACCACAAACAAAAACCAAAAACAAAACCTCTCACCCCCCCCAAAAAATAAACTCACAAAAAAACACAGTTAAATGCACATTCCATAGCTAAAGTCTATCTTGTAAAAGCCTATCAATTTAACAATACTGTTACCCATTTTCTTTGCTAGGTAAGTTCATAGTTTAAACTGAAATCAATGCCCTCTTCATCCCTATTCTCCCTAGGAGTAACTGTTTGGGAGTGGGGATCAGGGAGGAAGGAAAAGGACAGAAGAGGTATGCTCACACTGTAAGGAAATCTAGACCTAAAAATAATTGGTTGTCTTTCTTCCCTCCCTTCCTGCCCCCCAAACTTAAAAAAAAATGCATGCCACTATAAATCAAATCAAATCAAATTACTTCTTTTTCATAGTCCTCTCTTAATTACAATATCCAGCTTCAGCTATCCCTGATGAACTCTAGCAGTGACCCTGGTAGTATTCAAAGTTACATTTTAATAGTGTGGGAGAGGTATAATACAAAAATTAGCTTTACCAATGGTGCTTCACCAATGTGAATGTGCGTTTTCTGCTTAGTTTCACAGAGTTGGCGTAGATGTAAGATCACAAGTTCATTTTCTTCCTGGTCATTGTCAGGCTTCATTTTCTGTCAGTAACAGCAAAGAAAAGAAAAAAGTTGCCTTTCAAGTCATGATTTGCTCATTTTCCCTTCCATATGTATGTATTCTTTGAAATTAATATACCGATACACCAGATGCCAGAGTGCACTATTAGTATGTCAAATTGCAAAATGTTTGTGTACCTTCCTACTCCTGAGCAAAACAGACCAAAACTTTCCATATGGAAAATTTTACAGGTTGTGGAGAAGAGGGAGCCTTACACCCACACATTTTGTTTTCTAAGGTTGTCTGCCATTGTATAGCCTTATAAATGGAATAAGGAACCCAGGAAAACCAAAAAGCCACTCCCTTCTTCAGGCAGCTAGAGAGGAGCATAGCTGTTGGAAGCCTAAATAACGTATACTTCGTCCACTTGAGTACACTTCCTCACACCAGAATCTTGCCTCAGAATAAGTCAAAAGACAACTTCTGAAAATGCCAGACACGTTCATTCCCACATCACTTTCAAGTAGGGAAACTTGTTTACAGATGAAGAACTTAACTCAGGGAAAAGAAAAAAAAAAAAGTACTCTGGCTATGAAGACAAGAGTATCTCAGCAGACTTGGGAATCAAAACTTTTCCAATAGCAGTGTATCACATGAGGTTAGGTTGAGAGCATGCTATTTTAGTATGATGTTTGGTGGAAAACCAGTAAATTCTAGATCAACTACATAACAAAACAAACATAATCAAAACCAAAAATGTCTAGTCCATTTTATCATGGTCTTTCTTAAATTTGAAAGAGAACAGCTTCTAACGTATTACCTGAACACGTTCAAAAATGTCTGCTTGCTCGTTATCAGTTAGTGACGACAAATGTCTCTGAATTACAAGTTTGGCTCTTGGTGGATAGAGTCCTGAGAAAAGAAAGGAACATTAAAGCTTCTAGATTCTCAAATGATTTCTGAAAAAACTGTTGAAAAAAAATTATAGTAGAAGATATAAGCCTGCATTTGAGTTTATACAAATTTAACTTATGACAGTTGTATATCTGCAGTAAATATGATACAAAATACTTCAGGTTTTGCTAAACCACATGGTTTTGTATCCTTTCTTTAGCAGTAAAAATGGTACTAGCAGCAGCTAAGTGGCTGGCTCCTGTGTAAAAGGTTGTGCTCCCTACCCCACTGATGTCTTCTGTCCTAGTACCAAGAGCTCACTGACAGCTCGAAGCCTGACAACTGTATGGGAGAGGAGGAAGAGAGGAACAGATCAGGGATGTAACTGGAGAGATACTCAATGCACAGGATACTCAGAAGTTTTCAGATGCTTTGAACTGAAAATGTTAGATACATTCCTATACAAGGAAAGGGTAGGGTACAGGTCATACCAGAGAACTGAAGACACTTTTAAAAGCAAGAACAGCATAAAAGCTGTAAGAAAAAGGAAAGAATTTCTGATGTTCAATAAAATGCAAATTTGCTCACAGAGCTTGTTCTAGGAAGCTACAAAAACCATGGGGGAAAACAAAACGCCCTGAATCAGATTAAGATATATGGTTTTTCCATCCAAGGTAGATCTCATTCATAGAACATTGCAATCAGAACAGATAAAGACTTTTCCAAAGTCAGGAAGCTCTAGGTTTGATTATGATAAACTTCTAGACTCTAAACAAAGCAGACAGATAAAAACAAAGGGACACTAAAATAGTCTTTCAGTCACTAAGTACAAAGTTTATGAAACTACTATTGTGGTACTCAAGTTGTCGCCCTAGAAGTGATTTTATTTTGATACTGGACACTTATCCCAGGCTTGCAAGTATCTGTATTCAAGATACTTACACTGCCTTATACAGCAGCCTCTAGTTTTTCGTTTACAGAAGACTTTCCCAGTTAAGCTTTATCACTTCTGAATATCTGTTGTTAAACATGGAAAATGTCAGTCGCAACCTAACAGAATTTCACTCCACTAAGATTTTACACTTTGCTTTTCATCCACCAGAGGGAGGGAAGTAGCAACAGTGACTTTTAATGAACGGGACAACTGGCAATTACCAGCACCATCATCACCAGACCAGAAGATACAAGACTACTGTAACATACTTGCTTTTTTTGCATGCAACACTTTGCAAGGAGACACAGCGGAATAAGTATAAAAATAGGATCCTGCTACTAACTATGTTGTTTGTTTTTTTAAATTCTATCTTGTAAGATTTTTGTATGTGTTCTGGCATACCTTGCTTCAGAGAAACTACAAAGGTTTGTCTATTCACATTTAAAGCCAGGTAGTTGCCTTAATTTTATTAATCTCCTAACTTAATCATTTATTTCCCCATAATAGAAATAGATTTTGAAGTGTGTAAGAGAATAAACACAAAGGAGGAAGAAATAACCCCACACAGGAAAGAATGAACACACAAGAAAGCAAGACCCTTTTTGATCACAACTGTCTTTTTATGACCCATTTTGAAAGCACGCATCTTCAGAAAAAAAAATAAACAGAAGGTGAACTGGTGGGGTTTTCTGCTCTGCTTAACATTTAAGAGAGGTATGACAATGAAAAAGTATATCTTTCTAACAGAAGCGATACTATATTCAGTTGCAATATCATTACTGCTATGACCTCCACTTGATTACAGAGAGTGCAAAGTGATGGTAAGAATTCCTTACTGGGATACTTTTCCCTCTGTTCTTACATGGTTTAAGTTGAAAGTGGATGGTTAACATAATTAAAATTCTTCTAGAATAATCAGAAAAACACAATTAGAAAATAAACTCAGCTGCTACCTTCAATTCTTTCACAAAGTTTGTGCAACGAATGCATAGGGCAGGCCTCGCACAGTTTAATCTGTGTCTTGGCATTTTGCAGAGCTGCAGCAGTGCTAAAGGCTTGTTTCAGGGTAAGCATTACCTCATCAACCTATAGGAGAAGGAAGGAAAAGACAGTACATAAACAAAAATGCATGTCATATACATCAAATTAGATTTATAAATCACATCATAGACAGGTGCTTTACAAACCACCCCCCCCCCCCCATCTGCTGTCTTCTAAAGAGATCAAGGTTGTATTCCCAGTTTTCTGCCTTTTCTGTGGATGCTCACCATCTTCAATTTCAGCCAGACAGTGTAATTTTGAGTATCTAACTGCAGCTACTCAAGCTTACTGGGCAGGAAGCCGCTGTTTTCAGAAGCTGCAAGTGGGAATTTTTGGCTTGAATATATGCTGGCTAAATAAACTGCATTTCTTTCTTTTTCTTTAGCTTCAAGTTTCTCCTGTAAACTGCACATGCTCCCTCTCAATGATTTTCCTCCCACCACTGCACCATTTTAGCACAAAACCCCACAGACCCATCCTGCTGGCAGACAGGAGCTTCCCACAGCAGTTCACTTTTCTCCAGGCTACTAGACTGGCTACCAGCTTCATTACAATCACTAACTTATCTTTAAGTACTGCCGACCTGCCTTGCAGTCTGCCATGACCTTTCCTCTGCCACTACCACAAATACAGCAGTGCTGTGTTCCAACACACCAGCACTGGAAAAGCTCAACTTTTGTGTAAGAAAGGTTGAGGTGACAGTGTTTCTCCACACTCATTCAAATATGCTCCCAGACCTTAAATACAAACTGTTTGGAGTTCCCCTGTCTTTATTTTAGGGGAATACAATGCTTATTAAAAGCTGTTTACTTGAGTCTTTGCATTAGCATGGAAAGAAGGAGACAACAGCTTGATGACAATCTTAGGAAAGCAATCAGTATTCTACTTCAGAATCAGGTCCTCCCTCTTATCTGTTTCTTTTTTTATAAGCAGAAAGAAGAAGGCTGAACTATTTGAGACCAAAATCATGCAGTCTAACATTGAAAAGATACAGACTTTTTTGAGGGTCTGTCACTTGGCAGAAAAAAAAATACTTAAAAAAATGGCACCTGAACGTGGAAATTTGAATTAGTTTGTGTCCCAATCTGTTTAGGTCTTCTCTATTATTTGTCTTTTTAAACCCACAGTTTTAAGCACTACCAGTAATTTCTGGGTGCTCTCTCTTCTTAGCAATAAAGCAGGGCATTGAACAGTGAATACATCTTGCAATACAGACTGATAATTTTTTAATTGGCAACAATGCCTCTCAAATGGAAGATCCACAGAACAGTGCTAAGCATATGGATTATGACTACACTAAAATCACAACTGTAGCACAGACTGCAGCTAGGTTTACAGCAAATATACACGAGCGTACCAACACAGCCTGCCTGACAGCACAGAATCTGGAAAGCATTAGGTTTTACAGCTCTGCCCTGCCACAGTCAAACTGCCACTGGAGTCCAAGCGATTGCATCTGAAAGTAGCTAAGGAATGTTCATTTCATACTACATGTGGGCATATCCACACATATCAGTACTAGAATATGTAAAGAGGGTCATAAATACATGGTTTCTTTATATACCACATTTTAAGTCTTTGATTTATACATGGTCAGATTTATCAATTGGTCAGTTGTAACACTTTCTCTTAGCACAAAGCTAGAGCTGATTTCATAACAAGCTCCCATTTTTATAAAATGTACAGCCTCAGCTACCATTGTACATCTAGGGCTGCTAGCTGTTTGAAGTTTTATTGACATAAATCTATTCACTCTTAAGCTAGTCAATGAATTAACAAATTACATTTTTCAGCGAGCTAGAAGAGTGATTTTTAAGTTTAGCTGAAAAAGAGTTAGCAGCTGTTAACACAGCAATCAAGAACAAACATGTTTCAGAATAGAAACAAACTTCTTTTAAAGTATTAGAGCTTGAAAATAAAAATGTAGTAGCCAAAACGAATTCCTGTATGCCTCACATTATTAAGCTACCTGTATCAGTTAAATCACCAGCACCTGGAACTTCAATTGATTGATACATACTTTATCAAATGTCCAAGGGACTTTTTCATAGTTATACACATCCACACATATATGGTTTTCTTCTATGATCAGGTGCTGCTATTTTCGTCTCCTGAGGAACAGAACAGACTACAGGGAAAACGCTAAAGCCATATACAGGATCAGCCAATAGTTTAAACCTTATCCTGAAAAGTATGTTTGAATTTTATCATCAACATTGTTACTGATTCAATACATGTAATTACATGTTTAATGGGGAGCCAAGTGTCTCAACAATTAGAAACGCAAGAGTTACAATCAAATATAGAGCCCAAATATGCTCACAGTCTGCATGTGTGAACTCATCCATCCGGATTTTTTCTATGTGTTATTGATATAAGCATCAGCAGAGTAGCAAGATATGGCTATATATGAACAGAATGTATGCATATTTTCATATTCACAAATGAGGTCCCACACCTGAGACCACTGAGGCTCAGCTGACACAGCAGAATAACAGAGACTCCCATGATTTAGGAAATGCCTCAGACATCTTCTGATGGAAATGTTAGGATCATTAATAAATACTCACCAGAGACTCACTTGCACACTGGAATACATAGCAAACATACTGGCTTAACCCAGGTTCAAAAGATTCCCGGCAAATGAAACCAAAGTGATCAACGTGTTTTATACCCTAAGAGAGTTTAAAAACAGCATTAGTGGACTATTTTATAAAAAGGTTTAGTTTCTGAAGTGATCCTAAAAATAGTTGCCAGACTCCAACACTTGCCAATACAAAAATTTGAGAAACTATAAATGCATACTACTAACGATCTATTTTACAGCTACAACAGTCATCTTTTAAATTGCTTTTTGCATTTAAAAGTTACATAAAGCTCTTCATACAATCAAAAGTTCTACAGTAATGGACCTGGACCTGAATTTCTTCCATTGGGAAAACTGGATTTTCATGGAAGCGGACTAAAGAGTCCTAGGTTATATTTGCAATTGCCTATGCAGTGAAAACTTGATGTAAATGAACCCATGCTAAAACATGGGACTAGAGTAGCATCAAAGTAGCAACAGATCTTTGCTTTCCTGTAATACAAGTTAGGACTACACCAAAAAGAGCAGGGAATGAGTGGTGACATGCAGAATTCCAAACAAATTCTTAAATAAATTCTTTGAAACCAAGTTACATACCAGAAGTTTCAAGACTTATTACACATTACTACTGATGTTTTCTTTCAAGATCCTAGTCTAACTGCTTGACAGGGAACGTTGCCTTGCTAAAAACAGCACTGAGAAGATCAAAGAGAGCTGCTTCCTAAGAAACACTATATTCCCAGTCTCAATTCATGGAACATGACTCACTATTGTTAATGCTTTTGCCAATGTTTTTATCATCTGAGTATGGTAATAGATTTTCTCCAAAAGAAAGCCTAATCCCTCAAGTTCAAATACAACAGAAAGCAGAACTCAGTTGCTTGGATCCATCTCCAAAGAAAACACCTATATCGTAAAAGAGGGGAAGAGGCAAAACAACTTGCTTGTCACTACAGAAAACACTCTAGACAAAATTGGTAATGCAGTACGTGACAGACTGAACATATTGCCACTACACACTGTAGTTTTTAAAAACAAAATTCCAAGTTACATTTGGGCTTTTAAACAAAACTTAACAAAGTTGCAGAGGGCATCTCAGATGGCAAAAATGGCATTAGTTTACCATAGTCCACACTAATCCTGACTTAATTGAACTAGTTTTCCTGTGACACATGAAGTCTTCAAAAGCATAAAATGAAAAAGAACAGATGTATACACGTACATTGATCTATGTAACAGTGAAGCGTTGCCCTCTGTTTTGCAAGGAAACCGTATTTACTTCAGCTGGTTCAGTAAGATGCCAGTTCCCTCCTGCTGACAGTGCCTGAACAAGTCTAGTGCTGTCTGATTTCTCAGTCTCCACAGGAGAACATTTGTGGGGGAGAAGGATGTGACACTTGCACCACTGAAGCATAAATAGCACAGTACATTCCTTAATTAACAGTACCTCCATCACATTTCTTTAAGAAGGTGGCCAGACTTGTCATGCCAAAGGGGCAAAGTTGTTTGTTGTTCTGGGTTCCCTCAAGGTCAGAAAGGCTGCAACAAGAAAACTTCTACAGCTCTCTGACACCTGAGCTTTGAAAACACACAGAGGGGTTTTTCATCAATTATATTTGCTGCTTTGACAATTATATGGAGTGCAGATAATGAATTGAATGCAGGAGATCAACCACACTTAAGCTATAGAATAAAAATACCTTTATCGGACCAGACTAAAAGAATCCAGAATGCAAGCTGAAGAGAACATATCCTTTTCATCGTTTGTAAGGCTTAGAAGAACAAACATTCCTAAGCCACAGTCTCACAATATGCAGTAAATCACTGCCCCATAAACCTGCAACACAGAAGCCCTGTGGCAAGCACCAAGTTCTTAAAATACTGGTGAGGCTTATGCCACCAAATCCTTAGTCCTGAACAAATTAATATTGCATTTCTATTGAACATAGAAAAAACCCCAACTTCTCTGAAGTAGCCGTTTTGCATTAAAAAAAAAAAACAAAACCAACAAAGCCCCAAACCCCACAGTATTGTTAGTGCCTGTTTGAGTTACTCAAGCATGCAAAATAACAAAAGCTTTGCTCCAAATGAAAGTGAAGAGGGAGTGAAATATTCCACCTCCAAAGCCCAACACACAGCATTACCTAACACTATTTACTGTACACAGTTATTTTACTGAAGGAAAGCTAGGCCTTGAAGGTCTGCCATGGTCTTGCTGTCTCCACCAAGCTTTAAAGTCAGAAGAACAAAGGTTGTCCCCACTTATGACTGTTTTGTTTGACAATTATCAGTATGTATATGCAACCCAGGAGCCCAGTACGTAAAGTTGTGTCAACTTTTATTCAGCTCAGTACACCCACAAAGCGGGAGAAGACTCAAGCTGTCTGCAAATTTTGCTTTCCATACCACTGCTTTAAGAATTTCTTTGACCTATACTTATTATAAAGCTATTAATAGATCATTGTTTGATTATACTGTCCCACTCTATATTTGGACTTGCCTTTTTTCTCTACCAAGAGCAATACAAATTGTAGTTAAACAGCAGAGTCGACTTAAGGACCTGGACCTTGATAGCTCAAGAATCCACTCGAGTTACAAGTGCTGACCACTTCTTAATACTTATTAGCATTGGTAGCACAGTCATGCAAGAGCATATTTGTTATTAGCATTAAAATGAAAGCACTTGGGGGTGAAATACAGGTTTAGAGCATGCCAGGAAGTGTACTTTAAACTAGAATAATGGTGTTTAAGGAGGCCTGAAGTGATGCATGTGCATGGCAAATGAAAGAAGATAATAAAATAAGACCTCAAAACAGAAAGTGCCAGAAGTAACAGGTGCTGAACAACAGCAAGATAGAAAGGTGAATCCCTCAGCTCTGGCATTTAACTTTGTAAGACTTGTTTATTTATTACTGGACATAGCTAGGTTCACCTATTGCCATATCCTCCAGAAAAAATTATGCAGGTGAACTGCTGTTTTTCTGGAGGGCTGATCTGATGCTCTCCTCCTTTCATTCCAGAGGCTTTCAGGAGCTTAGCTGCTCAGAAACCGCACACTCAGAGCATCCTAAATGAAGATTAAGCTCCTTCCCAAATTATATCCAATGCTCTTCCAAAGCAGAACAGTTTATAGTTTGTTTTCTGACCAAAGATCAAAGTTGCCACTACCACAGCTCAGACTGGTTATCTTGCGCTCGTCTTTTCTGTACTTAAGCTCTTTGGGGATGACATTGCATTATTTTTGTGCAGTACCTACTTGAAACAGCTACCAGATGAGTGAAAGCCCAGATTTGAATAACAGCTCTTGCTCTTGTAAAGGCAAATCAGTACTTCAAGTCTTCTGTAAGTGTTCATAAAGCAATTACAGTTTAAGATCCAATTTCTTCAGCTGTACTCCCCAAAGAAGGTGATGCATCAAACTTCATGCAGGATCTGTATACACATTAGTCACAATCGCTCAAAATCCCTCCTTCCGTCGTCTGTTTTTTCTTTTTTTAAATTAAGGACCCAATGGGGTAAACCAGCACTTTACTTTCATTCAGGGTAATTCAATAGGACAAACTGTTTAAATGGCCTTTGAGCCAGGATAAACTGGCCTTTGAGACTTAATAAAGGAAAACAGCACAGAATGCTGAAAAAGAATTCTACATTTCCTTTTTTTCTGCTGCCTATAGATCAGCAAGGCAACCCAGCTGAAGAACAAAGAAATTCCTTTTCTCCTGATGATCTACCTGTTGCTTCTTATTAATGCTTACCTGAGAACATGAAGAGATATCTTTAAAATTCTTTTCAAGCACAACAGATTTGGTGTCCGGACTGATGAGGTTAACTTCAAACCTTCCAACCTGAGGGGAGTGGGGCAGGGGGAAGGAAATAAGTCTAGTTTACAACTGTCTTGGAGACACAACATTAACAGCAACAAAAATGTCACAATCTAGCCCTTTCTTGTTCACATAGAGTACCTTCAGCATAACAGCTTACTCAGCAGGAACAAGGGTGCCATAATTCAGCCTGTGTTGAGTAAGAATATTTCAGTGAGAACAATACACTTAGTTGAATAGGAAAAAGACTTGGAAAGAAGACAGCTTCCCCCCCCCCTTTTCTTTTCGAGTTATTTTGGTCCAAAGATCACATGTTTGACAGACAATACTGAAACCTTTAGTAAACAATGTGGCTAAATTAAAAGCTGCAGTAAAAAACAGAACTTGAGAATTTTATTTTTTTAAAACTATACCATAAATCAGCTGGGAAACTATGTTGATCTGAAGGTGATACTTTTTGGTTTTGCAGTAGTTCTGGATGAGAAAGAGTAGGTTCTGCAGCAAGCTGTATTTCAGCTTTCCCAAACTGCTTCTCAGGTGTATGGAACTTATTCCATAGACCTCAGGGAGTTTTTCAGCTAAATTCTTTTCATTACTGGTGATAGCTGTGGTGTTCTAAAGGGCAATGCATTCTCACTTCAGTTAGCATTTCCCCAAGAGAATAAAAGGCAAGAATGATCTTTAAAGAAAATGGAAAGACAAAACCCAGGCATTTAGCCCCCTGTTATTTTAAGGTCCAAAGATCTTTCCTTTTATGGGTCACCTCCTTTAAGTGCCCTTTTGTTTTCTCAATACAAGCTTTGAAGATGTCAAATGCACTTCAGGCAAGAGAAGACATAACTGCGAGGTCTGAAGGATGAAGCCTTCAGTGCAGAGATGTTTGAGTACTCATCTGGGAAAGACCAGCTGAATGTTAATACAAATTATCATAAAGGGCCTGGCTCAAACAAAAAGCTGTGAAAGCATTATGTGAAGTTGTGAGCTTCTTTTTAATTGCACAAAAAAGAGTATTTGTTCACATGGAAGTCTTCGTCGATTCTTTTTTTGAAAGAATACTCACTTTTTTCAGCTAGGTCCTAGATCTCACCAATACAGACAAACCAGAACTGCATATAGAATAATTAATTCCCTAGAAACTCTGCTGCTGTTATTACTCTGTAAGTAATTCCTTTTTCTTAAAATTTACCTGAGCTCATGAGTTAAGGTGACTTCCTTAAGAAATTTCAGCTACTTGTGTTCCAATAATTTATGAACAGATACATAAATATTTATGACACATCATGAAACCATACTGGATCCATACTACTTATCTTGCTAAACTTGTCTCAGCTTCAAACTGCACAGGGGAAGATACAGCGCAAAACCAACATGAAACTGCTTAACCTAGTACACACCTGAAACAACATTGTCCTGTTCTTCTCAGAGTCGGAGGGCTGAACATGACTGGGTGCACTTGCATGTCTTCTGCGTGGCTGTATTTTCAGGTTTGTATCATGAACCCTTCTTTGCATAACTGCAGTGACGCTGCTGCACCGGGAGCGAAACTCTTGCTGCTCATCAAAGCCAGAGTCCTCTAAAATTCGCTCTGGAAAGGAGCCACGAGTGCTGGCCAGGTTGGTCAAGTTGGTCTGGCTGCCGATTGTAAACATCGCAGCATGCCCCGCAGTGTTATTTGGGCTGTCCAGCTCCTCAAATGGGCTATCCGATGGAGAAGCTGGCACATTTCCTTCACACAGGGGTAAGTCCAAATTTGACTCGTTATTCCGCTGCTCGTTTAATAGTTTCAGGCGCTGGCGCTCATGAAGGCTGAATTTCTCAATGCAATCATCAATTAGTGTGGAGGGAGCTTTCTTGTGAGCCACCGTCACCTTTCCACAGTACAGGACCTCAAATTTTTGAGAGTCATAGAAGGCATCTTCACTGTCCTTACTTGGTTTGGCATCTTCTTTCAGCGCTGCTTTGGAGACTTGTCTTATGCTGCTGATGACATCAGGAACCTAAAGGGACAGTGTGAAAGGTCTGTTTAGTAGCCACAAATGAGATAGCATAGACAGTGATACATCAAACATTTGTTAACGTAAGTATTTATACAAGTTACTTCTTCAGTAGAGTGCCACTAGCTTCTTGGCTGACAACATAAAAATAGTAAATTCTAAATTCTCTATAGACAATTTATACAGTGGAAACAAAGCAAATAATTTCTGATTTTTTTACTGGAACCTGTTTCAGAACATAAGGTTTTAAATTACCAGAAGGTCTACTGACAAATGTTCACAATTTTTTTTTTTGTTTTATTGAGACCGCCTTCTCTTTTCTGTAGCCCTCTTCCAGATCAGTGGCTCTTGCTGATATATTTTGCATAGGGCCATCAATGATCCTTTGTTTTTATTTTGCAGAGCCAGATATTCCATTCTTAGGACAGTTGTGGAAACAGTTTTGTGAAGAAGTGACCAGCAATCCCCATCAGTTTCAACTGACAGTTTTGGAATACAGGCAGCAAGTATATGGGAATTTTACCAAAGTACCATGTACAATTGCATTAGCTCTCGTTTATTATCCTCACCCCATCCATCCTATGACATAGCTTACTTTAAGGTCACACTTCTCTGCTGTTTCAGTCATTATGCAATTAAGAAGCACACCCAAATCTCTCTTCTCCTCTGTCATTCTTACCTACGGATTCCTACTATACCCTGTAAGGCCAAACTACACATCGCCAGTAGAAACTCTTAGTTTCAGCCGTGTATCCCCCAGTCTTTTAAGGCCACCTGGTTTTTCCGCCATTTTATCCCAATCACCTTGGGAGGATGTCTGCCTTCAGTATCAACATATTTAATATGCAAGCTCCTTTTTCATTTTACCTTCACTAAAGAAAACATGGACTTGTCCAACTCTACTGATCTCGGATCAGAGTGATTGCTCTTTTGACAGTACCTAGCTCTGCTTGACCAAACCTCTTTCTTACCAGGTCTCATCTTCTCTGGAAGGATAATGAATGGCATCACATTACATGCATTGGAGAAGTTACTAGTGACAATGAGATCAAAAGAGAATATCTATCTGATTTTCTTTGCAAGAGAAGTCAGTTCACAACATTCACCTAATCCAATGCAATCAATCAACAGCTTTTGTATTTCATACAGCTTCCCACCATATCTATAATATTTGATAATTTGTTTTAAAGTACTTTTTCTATTAAAAAAGAGATAACTCTGAAGTTAGTAAATAAACCTTGGTAAATAATCCATGCTCCCTACAGCATCTCCTTCTTTCAGTCACACGATACCACTTGAAACTTGCTAATGAGGCAGTAATCTTGTATGCCAATACTTTTGCAAGTCACAGTGGGAAATTACCTCGTCTTAATCCCCATCTCCCATTACACACTCCTCATCCATTGGGCATTCAACTCAAATCTGCTTCCAGTTCATTTATTGCAAAATTAAGTTCAATTACCCTAAGACCTTCTGACTGTTTGGCTTTCATCCCTATAGATGTCATCATCGTCTCAGTTTTCAGTGAAGCTAAAAGTTAGTCTTGATATGACACAGATACTAGAGTGTATTTAATCTTTACTCATTCTCACTACCAGGCTGCTTTACCATCACCCAAGGTGCGCTTCCTCCCAGCCACACCACCTCAGCTGGACACGGACATTCTCACTTTATACATGCGGGTTCATTTTCCAAGACGCAGCTCTTTTTCCACTGATCAGTCCTCTTATTCCTTCTATGGTCTGTGCTTAAAGAAGCTCTAGAGTTTAAATCCCTTAGCTCTCTATTTTAGCAAAATTCACAAGCTAGCTGTCTTTTAATTAACATTTCCCTTTTTAGAATCCGGAACGTGTTACAGGACAATTCACTTGTATTTCTAGTTGAAGTACAGTGACAAATGATAATGCTATTCAAAATGCACAAATTGTACATGCAATCGACTAGAATAAACGACATCAGCTGCTTAATCGGCAATTTGGATTTTTAAAAAAATGTGTACCATCACTTCCACTCCAATAACTGGGTTCTGGCACTTGCTCATCACTTCTAACATAAGAGACTGGAGGAGAAGTTCTTAAGTCTTTCTTATAATACCCAACAGCCTCCTAACACATCCTATCCCCTCACTCCCCCGCCAGACAATGTCCAAATAGGGTGGGGATAAGACACTACCGACTCTACCACAATAGGATTCCCCATCCATCCCCTCTTCTCTCAGAGGTCTCCCCCACAAACATACACACAGAGTTTTAAGTAACTGCAATTTTATTTTAAAAAAACACCTTACCATCCTGCTATTTATCACAGGCCTGTCGGGAGATAACAGTGGCATGTGAACTTTAAGGCCCTTCAAACAGTGCTCACAGTAACTCCTAAACCTCTGAACAGAGCCAAGAGAACTCAGAAGAGCAGAGATCCTTCTTCAGGGCCTGTACCAAACCGCCCCAAATGCAAGAGGCCAAAAAGACAAGGATGGACAGTGGGTACCATAAGTACAAGACTAGACCTGTGATACTAGATCAGCTCCTCAGTGTGAGGAACACTCCAAAACTTGTTTGAGGAGAAACAGAACAACAATAACAACATAAAAACCCTACCAAACCCAACCAAACAGGACTGCGAGTTAAGAGGCAAGTAAGAAGGAAGAGATCCATAAAGACGTTAAAGAGGCAATATTTCCCTCCAGGGAAACATGATCGATCTAATAAGTCTAATTAAAGAAAAAAACAACACTTGGGAATCCAAATTAAATTTGTTATTATTCATATTTGAGTAGCCTAAGATCATATGAATCATCTTCCCCCAATTAGATCTGATTCAATACATGGCAATTCAGTAAGTAAAGCTGTATTCAAATCAGAACAGATGGCACTGGTTGAGTTCTGCATCACCTACAATAAGATTCAGCTCTGAATATACAATGTAAGAAGTAAAGCGTGATAGTTGTTATACTGCCACAAACTCTGTTTACTACAGACATTAGAGTTTTGGTAAGCTGAAACTAATGACAGCATCAATTTTAGCCAAACAGTCCCCCAATCTATTCCATCTGCACCTCACACCCCCTTCACCCACCTCCCCCATGACCTTGGTTACAGACCTTAAGAGCTACTGTAGTACCTCATCCATTTGGCCAACTAGTGTACAACAAGGCTGCAGCAATTAGCCCTGGCTAGAAGACAGATACATTAATACCCTAGATCTGCTAATTCCATCCTTGCCGTTCACAGGCTCCATCCAGCTCTGTCCCTTGTGACTAGACCTACAACAGGGTCAATACATAATGGAGAGCAAACACCCTTCTCACACTTAAGTAGTACACTGTTGAAAGTGCATGTGGATAGTACTGCCAAGAACTATTCTACTATACATCAAGAAACTTCACTGTGTTCAACACAGAAGCATATTTTCATGTTGGAAACACCAGTTTAACGGATGTAGCTAATGCAAATTCTTTCATCTGACTTGATTAAAACCAAAGTGAGGATTAAAACCAAAGAGAGGACTACAGGAAAATAATTAACACGTCTTCTCATGCCATGCAACTAGGTTTTTGTTAAAATTACTTCCAACTTTATCAACCCTGTCTTAAAACCCCGCAAAAGAACTTCAGTTATGAGGTATTTATTACCAGCATCTTGAAGTTGCAAAACAGAAAGGTTATCAAGCCTACTAAATCATGCATGCTGCAGCATAACACTAGAACAGTTTGTCACAACTCTAGAATAGGCAGAGTATCTCCATGGTGATACTACACGCTTTCTTGAATAGCGGTGACAGAAGTTGAAGCATTATAAAAAAAAAAAAAAAAAATGTACTCCCTTTGAATTTACAACAGCCTCCAGTGAACAAAGGTGGAACTCCCCTTTTTGCTGGAGCAATAACATTCAAATACATCCTGCAGTAATTACTGAGCAGTGCTTTCAATTTTAACCCAAACTTAGAACTTGAACACTATGGATATTGCAAAGAAGAACAAAATTCACTTGCTGTATGTCATTATTTTCACAGCTGGATAGAATTTCACTGTGCAGAGAAGCTGCAGCTCTTGCTAGTTTGTTTCTAGCTTCCACATGGAAAATTTCAGTCTGGAATTTATTAACAAAGCAAAGCCCTTCTTCATACCATAAGGCTTATAAACGTTAGCATGACTGTGAAGTACTAATCTAACAAACATGCCTAACAAATCTGGCTACTTAATGACAGCAGTTCTAGCAAGGTGATTATTTTCAAAGGAAGAAAGAAGTTCGGCCCCTCTCACTCCATCACCACACAAGGTGCAGTGTTAGATCCCTTCCACCATACAAAGAGACACGAGATGAATGAACTTCATGCACGCACGTTAGGAGCAGTCAGTACCTTCTGGTGTAGGCTCCAGTTTAGAAACACAGGCATGTCCAAGCAAAACTGTCACCAAACTTTAGTGTCATGAACAAGAGGACTCAGGAACAGATTCCTGGGATAAGTGAGTGCAGAAAGATCCCCCTCTCACAAAGGGCTGGCAGTGCTGTTGCAGCATTTCCTCAGGCTGGGTTCATGATATCAGGGCACAGCCAGAGCTCCGCGCAGCAACTGTTACACTTCAAAAGCCAAGTATTTCCTGACTCCGGGCTGGAAGCACCCGCGCTGCCTCGGATTTGAATAATGAGTCCCACTCATGATCCAGCTATTTATACTTCAAAATGAACAAAAGAGAAACAGGATACCATCCAGAAATCAACACCCCATGCTTTGCCAATTACTGAAAGAGTTTGGCATCTATTGATGAGAAACCAGCGCAATGCAAGAAAAAATTAGAAGCAATTGGACATGACTCTCCTTTCAGTTACTGTTAAGTTGCATATCCACAAGATAGGAGAACCCAGCCACAGCAGTGAAACATGAACGGAGACAAAGAGCCACATATCACATCCTGCTACACGTCAGGCATTCGACACCAAGGCAAAGTTCTTATCTTACACAAAAACACACCCAAATGCCAGCCAAAGTGCAGATACCAATAACTACTCTCAACCAGAGAGAAGGGTGGGAGAGGGGAAAAAAATTGTTTTAACTGCTATAAATGTTTTTACTGTCTTCCAGTTAGTACAGCACTGATCATCCTTCCAAATCTACAGCAGCCTGCTGCTTTACATGTTGGTGACAGTGCTCCTCTTAACAGTTTTCACCATTAAAAATGCATCTTTCCAATAAAGAGATAAAAGACTAGCTCAGAGTGATTCAATTTATGCAGTCACACAAGCAATTTGTTGACTTTGTTTATGCTAGAGGTATTCAGAAACTAGAACAGAAGAATTTGTCTCATCAGCTGACTTAGTGCCTAAGGAATGCTGACTGTCTTTGGTTTTACAGAAATGAAGAGGATCTGTAGCCAAGAGAAATGCTATCACAAAGGGGAAAGAATAACAGCCGAATTGCTAAGCATTTCTATAACCCACCTGCACTTCTGTGCAGTTTAGAAATACAGTTTAGAAAACAGAAAGTCAGGTTCTCAGCAGGCAGTAATAAGCATCTGCTATCAACTCAGATTCATTCCGATGCAAGTCTGGGCTAACACAACACAAGCCCAGTAGCAGGAAAGCTGGAACACGGGGGCTGGCAAAGAAAGACCCAGTGAACGCAGCTTTTTGAGCTTCAAGCCGACTGTCACCCCTGGCAGCTAGTGTTTTCATGTTTCTGCTGTTCTCTACAGGTTCATGAGTGTAGCCAAAGCTTACAGCAATAGAAAACACATGAGGAAGAAGCCAAAAACACATTAAAGAATTGCACACAGTAAGGTTTAGCTTTCAGGAGACAGAGCATTCCTCCTATTTGCCTGGCCTGTATTTTTTTTCCAGGTGACTGGTCAGGACCCAATTCAGTCTGCTTCTAAAGAACTACTACACAGCAATGTACTCATTTTACTCTGACATTCAACTTCATGCCATACTCCTGCTGAAGGCAAAGCTGAAGACTACCACTAAACCAGCCTAAAGAGAAAGAGATTTTTTTTTTAAATAGGTAAAATAAAATTTAGTTCTCAAAATAGTTCTTACTTGAGATCAACCCAGGAATTACTTGTACTGTTTAGTTTTGATACAGTTAACAAGCAGAAAAAAGTCTACCACAGTTGCACTGCTTACACTTAGAGAACTCGCCACATTACCTTATTTGCTACTGGAAACTTGTAGATCACCTAGCACGTTCTGGGTGCTACACACGCAAACAAGATGCTGCTTTGCCAAGTATCCAAATTTAAATAAGCAGTATAATGATAGAAGGTGGATCAAATTACTTAACAGGAAAGAATGTGTAAGAGTTACAAGATTGTTTGGATGCCTGAGCAGACTACAGATGCCTTTTTTTATACTTGCATGCAAGCACCCTACAGTAGTATATCAAAGAACTTCAATGATGGTAGTGACAGCATAGCCCAACAGGAACATTGCTTTAAATAAGAAAGGTTCTTGCATTCAGTATTTCACTCCTACATTTAGGCCAGTCAGACTGATGCTTTTCCACCTTTCAGATACAGCTCACACTCACTCTGCTTGAATACTTTACAACCCATAGAAGTGTCAGTACAGAGCTCTCATGACAATCCTTATGTTCTTTGACTATGTAGAATAGCAAGTCTCAATTCACCTGCCCACTTTGAGCATATGCAAGTACTCTCAAGTTTGTTTCCAAGTTTGGGACATAGTTCCCAGTGAAAGATTTAGCAAAGTACAGCTTGCTTGTAACATCACTTTGTCTTAAACTTTCCAACTGCTTTAACCCAAGTTTTTCCAAACTATGAAAGCACAAATTCAGATATTAACCAGGAATTTTCTCCTGAAAACTCTACATTTTTAACTTCATTTGGCACTTCATTTTCTAATAAGAGATTTAATAAGAAGATGTTGTTTTTAAGAACTCCATCATATTTTACACATACCCTATTTTTAAAAGGGCTTGCCTGAGAAGATAAGGCTGGATAAGGCTGTCACGTGGACAGTCCCAAACAATTAATACATTCTCTGCATTCATTTCCTTTTGGGGAAAAAAAAAAAAAGCTACAGTTGGAGAGCTCATTGAAGTATTTTGCCCATTTATGGTCACTATCCACTTCTCAAATACAGATCAGAAGATAGTGAACTTCATTTTAGCAGATTTAAAGTGCAAGTGCTAAGACTGAAAGAAGTGCTCCATGCACCATATTTAAGAAAGCAGCAGTTTTTTAATCCAGTAGTTTTAGACAGAAGCTCTCAAGATTTTAATTTAAAAAGATGAATTAACATGTTGATTCACTATGAAACAAACACACCTTGGAAAGTCTGGTTTTCCCTAGTCAAGAGATCAAGGTTTCAGGACTCCTGCATGGCAGACCATGATGACTCCTAAAGTGAATATTGGCCCAGATTTGGTTGAAGAACACCTGCATCTGATTTCCATGGATGCCACCACCTCTGTAACTTATTTGCTACAACAACCACCTTCTTCTTCTATCACTGAAGGAGATGTTAAGTGGTTAGTAATTCAGCACTCACTCTGGGAGATGGGAAAAATTACAGACTCTATTCAGTCCAAGAGATCTAGCAGGTGCCCAGAACAAGTCAGGCACTGCAATAACTTCTAGCCCCCTTAATAAGGCTAGAAGTTCCCCAATGACCTGAAACCGAGAAGTCAGGTCTTTTTCTATTTGATGTTTTCCCAGAAATTCTTGACTGCAGTATTGAGAAGTTTCAGACTACAAACTTTCTTTAAAAAAGGCTCTGCTTACAGAAAGGTGGTCACCAAAAACAGTGTCAAGCAGCAGGTGACACTGTGGCAGAGACACAAAAAAAGCCACTACTGGGTTCAGGACTCCTTTTCTCAAAAGGACATTCACTAAGAAACTGCGAAAGACAAATGGACATGATTTATCAGGCAGTGTGCACAGAGTAGAAAAAAACTGATTGCAACCTAATAGCCTTTCAACAGCTTCTCCACCCCTGTCAAGTAACATTCATTAGTTTTCTAGTACTTTGAAATACACATCTGTACAAGTTCTAGCTTGTCCAGTAATCTCAGTTCACAAGAGCAACTGCATTATCTTGAGACAGTATCAAATGCCTAAGCAACCAGTAGTACAATTAACTTTCCCCAGATAACAACCAGCAAACAACCCTAGCATAAACACAGTGAAAGAGGATTTTAAAGCCATATCGATCCAGATGGTGAATTCCCAACCACTTCGAAACCAGGTGCCAGGCAGAGCAGGGAGCTTCCACCTAACTAGACTTCTTCCAGCAGCGAGATCTTGAATCACAGCTTTGCCTGACAGAGACAGAGGAACAATGAATACCATGCCTGAAGGCAGAGCTAGCACACCACAAAACACCAACCCTGTTCTCACTGGGAGTCACAATAGTCTAATCTTGTCAATCACTAACTATTAAAAATACTAAGATTTCAGCAGCTGCTTACCTTAGCTGTGAAAAGAATTAAATAGTTAGATAGTTACAGTGTTCAAAAGTAAATCTGTACAGACACAGCAGAATGGGTAAGTATTTCAGATTTAATAGCTGAAAGTAATTAAGTGCATGGTTGTTTCACTTTTTCAAGCAGAGGAATTCCATAAGAGCTACAGAGTTACTATTAATAATAATAAAAAACGCCAACCCAGAAGACCCAGGGGCAACAGAAAAGGAAACACTTTCCCAGAAAGCTTTGAGACAAATGAGTTAATGAAGTAAAGAGACAGTTAAGGTCCTTCCAGAGGAACAGCTTCCAAAGGCAAGACTTGCACCAGTAGTGATATACATGATGAATAATCTAAGGGTTTGATACAGACCCATGAGACCATTTGCATATATTCCCAAAAAGCTTGTGAGAGTGTGTTTTGTTTTGGTTATGAATCTGGGTTCTATAAAACTATAGGGAAAAAGGGAGCATAAAAGCACTCAGTTACTGTGTAAGGAAGAAAACACAATAGGTGATGAATGCAGAGAATCAAGACAGATGGGATGGAGTTGTTTGCCGGTATATAGGGAGTTTCCATTTGGTTTTTAGGCAACATTTTCATATACTTTAGGTAAAGTAACTTTTGCAGTGCTTCACTAATTGCTACTCATAGATACTACTTGCTTCAGTACTGCTAACCTTTATTTTCTCAATTTAGTATGTCTGCTACATGATTGATATTTCTGAGCCAGCAGTTGCACAGCACTGCCTGACAGCATAAACGATAAGATTTAAGGAACTAGATTATAGAATTGGCTTGAGTCTACACAGGCAAGCTGAATAGGTAGGTTGCATTAACTAATTAGAGCTAACATTGCTAACAACATTCATAGGAGAAATGGCATAAGCTTTATCATGTCCTAGAAATACGATCACAAATATACCCAGGATTTCTGGAATTTAAGTTCATTATTAAAGTACATCAAAGCCCA